CTGAGGTCTAAACGTGAGACTTTTGTCCTCTAAGTGTTCTGTTTCTGTTCTTCACCAGGAGCAGCCGCAGAAACACAGAACAGCCGTCATCAAGAACACTAACTCTCCAGGTGAGACTCAGGGTCTGTGTGTAGTTCCTCCCAGAGATGTGTGTATATATCTGTACTGAAGACAACTCTCTTCTGTAAAGTGTAACTATGGTACCGACAGGGCCGTGTGCAGAAACAAAATACCTTATTTTAAAGTCTTTCTGAGGGGCTACATTTATGTTTTAGGACTGTACGAGTGATCTCCTTATTTCCAAATGTTTGTTTACTTCCTTTATTTAATAACTTCTTTACTTTACTTAAAGGTGGGGTAGGTCATTCACTTCAGAAACACTTTTCGTTATATTCCATGGAATGCTCTTAACATCCCGATAGCAATGAATATCTTAAATGCTTTGACAATAAACCCATTAGAAAATGTCATCTCTGGAAGCCGTAGCGTTGTAAAAAGCACGACCAATCATCTGAGCCGGACCGGCTATAATAACTGGATGGCCTACCTGCCTGTCAGCCTTCCATCTGGGCACAAACTTATCTCGTGCCCTCATTGGTCATGTGCGCGTTCGTGTGTGTTGGAGGAGGGGCTCTGTGAGGAAGTCTGAAGGAAGGGGCAGATTTTTTTCGGCTGCTTACTTTCAAATTCTAGCGCACTCGAGCCGGTTTCTCCATTCTTACCTTTAAAGGAAAAATCTATTTCTATTTTGTTTGATTATATTCATACAGTTCCAATCTCAAAATACAATCTTTAGCTTCAATAATGTTTTGTAAGATATACATTTTTGTATCCGTCTAAATACGTTATTTTTAATGAATATCATTTTATAAGTATTTCCATTAAATGAAAATGAGCTTTGACACATTATGCTATATCTATTATGTGTTATAGTTAGTGGAGGTTTCACAAACTATGTGAAAATAAAACAATCGGAATACCTTTGAGTCCCAGAGGGGACATTTACATTACAATACATCGTTAGTTGAAGTTGAGTCACCTTATAGATTTTGTTTACATAGAGAAGTTTATTTTGAAATAATTACGAATTCAGATCATGTGAATAACAGGTTTATGTATCTATAATATTTGTTATGTAAAGGCTTCATCTCTTGGTCTGTTTGAAACCAGAATACAAGCAGAGCTTCACGCTGTCGATAAACAGGAACCACCGCGGCTTCAGGAGGCTGGTGACGACTAAAGGCCTCAAGCTGGAGCTGCTGCACAAAGGGTGAGTCAGAGAGGCTCTCCCCCCTCCCCCCCCCTACAGGGAGACAGTGACCTGATGCTCTCTGTCGTTTCAGAGGCTTCTTACGGAGCGACAAGCCGGTCGGGACGGCGCTCCTAAAGCTGGAGAAACTGGAGAGTCAGAGTGAAATCAGGGAGATCGTTGAGGTGAGATAGAGCACCATGAAACAAGAGATGTACGAGTTACCCAAGATGTTCTCTCACTGATAAATATCACTAAGTTAAACCTTTGAGTCTCTGTTTCCAGGTGATGGACGGTCGTAAGCCGACAGGAGGGCGAGTCGAGGTGAAGGTCCGGCTGCGGGAGCCCCTGAGCGGACAGGACATGCAGTCGAGCACCGAGCGATGGCTGGTGATCGACTCGTCACAGGTAGCGTTTAATATACGGTTCTGCAGCATTGGAATCTCAATAGACAAAGCTAAGATTGAATTAAAACATCTCACTTTTTATCTCCCAGGTTCTCGTTTAGATGCTGCTGCGAGTTCAGGACGATTCACAAGATAAAGGTAGAAGAAAATTGGCTTTTTCTTCGAGTTAGATGACATGATGTTACCACGCATAATGAGAGTAGTGTTGATCTTCGTATCAAACATATCTTTTGGAAAACCTGACAAGAAGTGAACAATTCTGTGTTTAAATGCATTTATTCACCTGACTGATAATTCCTCTGTTTGCAGATTAAAGGCACTCAATCAGAAACACTCGGAGGAGGGTGGAGTTCAGGAAGTGATGAGGACGGTCTGCTGATCAGTCGACTCGGAGCTACACGGGTCTCTGAATTTATAACACTTTTGCACCTTAGCGAGACAGGAGCGCTCCGCCTGCGCTTCAGAGGAGGCGACGGTTTACGCGTCGTCAGTCTGACGCTCGCTGATGGACAAAAAGCACTTGTTCTCCTGCTTTGTGTCATTGCTGCTGATTCTCACAGATTAAACTCAGATATAGGCTCGTGATGCGTCAGGGGAGAAAGTAGGGGTCCAGGTGAGTCTGCTGAGGGGCTCAGTGTGACCTGATCCTGCTGACGTGACTTAAGTTAATATAATATATCGAAGAATGTGTATATATTCCTGTTATTACAGCTCTGGTATAGAGAACTGCAACTATGCACTAACACCAAAGTAATCACTGTTGCTATAAAATCCTGCATATTTGAAATGTGCTCTTTAGCTGCCAAACCTGTTACAAAAACACCGGAGTGACAACGAGGGACTGGATTTTCTGTAGTGGGTTTTATGAGGTACGTGCACTCGGTAGACGGCGACTAGTATGCTCCAAGTTATGAGAAACTGACAGGAGGGAGAGTAACGATGCTTAGCAAGGTACTGGAGTGGACAGGGGGCAGCTAAACACGTTTAGTCACGTAGAAAAGACAATTTAAGGTTAAATGCTATATTTAGATTTATTTTGCCGCGAGACTCCATTGGCTTCAGTTTCCTGTCGTAAAGTGGGAACGATATTCTCATTCACTCTCACAGACGCACACACACACACAGACAGACGCACACGCACGCACAGACAGACGCGCACGCAGACACACACACAGACAGACGCACGCACACACACACACACACACACACAGACAGACACACACACACACACACACACACACAGACAGACACACACACACAGAGACAGACAGACAGACACACACACACAGAGACAGACAGACAGACAGACACACACACAGAGACAGACAGACAGACACACACAGAGACAGACAGACAGACACACACACAGAGACAGACAGACACACACACAGAGACAGACAGACAGACAGACAGACAGACACACACACACACAGAGACAGACAGACACACACACAGAGACAGACAGACAGACGCACACGCACGCAGACAGACACACACACAGACAGACACAGACACAGACAGAGACAGAGACAGAGACAGAGACAGACAGACAGACACACACACACAGAGACAGACAGACACACACACAGAGACAGACAGACACACACACAGAGACAGACATACACACACAGAGACAGACAGACACACACACAGAGACAGACAGACACACACACAGAGACAGACAGACACACACACAGAGAGAGACAGACACAGACACACACACACACACACACAGAGACAGACACACACACGCTTCTTTACCAACCGCCATCTACTGTAGTTACACTTGCTATTAATTAGTAAGTCATACAAAACCCATTAAAGAAATCCCAACTATCCGGCTCTGTCTCCACGATGTCTCGCTCCCAACACAATGCATCTTGTTTTCAGCGCGAGGACACTAGCAGATAATAGCAGTCTCTCATATGTGTGTTAAAGGAGCAAGCCAAGGTACAATGTATTTAACTAATATAAAGAGCACACTCCCTCTTCGGCACCTTCTTAGTTCTCTCACTGTGGACCCTCTAAACTGCACACTGACCTTTCTGTGGCTTTGGGTGCGTTAGATTTATATTTGTCTTGTTTACACTCCACAGTACAAACTGAGCTGATCTTTAATCATCTAAAAAGATAGACATCCATTATAACTCATGATAGTTCATCTTTTAGTAGTTGGATGATCTTATTCTCTACATATTTTTAGTTGAATTAATAGTTTGACATTTTGGGAAATATGCTTATTTGCTTCTGGCAGTGAGATGAGTGGTGTTCATCTGATCAAAATGTCCAACTATTCATTTACAAGGTGAAGCACAACTTTGACCAACTATGTATCTCCGTTGTTTTAAAGGGCCAGTTCACTCAACATAGAGGAAGGATTCCCATCTTCTTACTCACTTACCCATAAACTCATGAAGATCGAGTAAAAACAAATAAAATGTAAGTTGTTTGTTTTGAATTTGGAAATTACAACAACAAAAAACTAACACAATAATTTTCAAGGACAATAATTAATTTACAATCTCAACTTTAAGGTCACATGGACAAAAAAAAAATGTAAAAACAACCACGGGACAGACCTTAGATTTACTGTCAAGGTGGATTTAAAAAAAATCTAACCTGTAGTAATTAGTAAGTGGTTTTATTGGAGCATCTTCTCCTGGTTAGATTTATAAAGAATGACCAGAAGACATAGTGCAGTTAGAGGAAGGAGAAATATACGTTTTTGGTAATAGTTTGAGTGAACTGGCCCTTTAAATGTTCACCTGCAGCGTTATAATCAATGCTCCACAAGAAGCCATACCGTGGACGTTTCTCAATGTCGAGTAAAGCTGCTTCAGAGCCACTATTTCAAGTATGCTACGTCATCGAGTGGCGCCGAATGACTGCCCAGCATTTGGCGCCACTCGATGACGTAGTATACTTGAAATAGTGGCTCTGCAGCAGCTTTACTCGACATTGAGAAAAGGCCCGACTCTCTGAGCCACTTCTACAGATTTACCTCGGCAACATCGCTCTGTTACTCGGTTGCCTATAGTTACTCGGTTGCCTATAGTTACGGTGGTCGCCACGTTTCTGTTTGAGGAAAACTTCATGAATCAATGCATGTTTAGGTTGATTTAAAACACTGATAAACATCATTTCTAAAGAACGATGATGTTGTTTGTTTTACTTAATGATAATCTAAAACAGAATCAAGGCTATATTTTGTTTTAAATTGTGGATTGAATTTGCCTATCCTGCTTCAAAATGTACCAATTAAAAACTCTTGTTTTAATTTTGCATTGTCATGTTTTACTCGAGTTAAAATGAAAACGAGGTAGAAACTAAAAACCACTCCAACATATTTCAATTTTCTATAAGTATTTATTTTACATATACTACAGTTTTTCATAAAGACCACTTTTCTTGACATTTGTAGTGTAAAGGAAACAAGATGCACAGGGTTTTTGGCTTTTTAAACATTTGACGTATGTTTATTAAAAACTGGATACCAAAACCCGGTTTATGAACGAATGGATTTATCTTTTGATTTAATCCAAACTAAAAAGATATAACTGTCAAAATGCAAAGTTGACTTTCTCTTCACCGTTTCAAGCTGGTTTGCATGCAGTGTTATAATTTAGGAGTGTAACTGAATAAAAAAAACAAAATGCTACTTTTTCAGTCAAACAAATTGCACCTTTTTTCTTTTGGATTCAGGACATATTGCACGCGTCAGAAAAACAACAGAAAAACTCCAGATGAACGTCACACAGTGATCGAGACGCTCTGGTTTGATCACAGTAATAAACCCAGAACTGATGACCTAGCGTTACTCTGCTACACGAGATCCTAAAATACTTCAGATTGAGAAATAAACTAAATGCTACGGGTCTAACTCAGAAGGCTCGTCTGCAGATTTCCACGTGATTGTCTGATCCTCACTTATGACGACGAGTTTTTGCTTTAAAAAACCCTTTCTGTGTTACCAAGCAGTATTCTTTTGTGTAGCCCCTTCGGTTTTGAATCAAGCTAATGTAAAAGCAGGAGGAATTGCCATAATGCAGAATGATAGATACGCTGTACAGAGCATTTGGACACGACAGGGTGGTTTTTGGTGATTAGTCTAGCCAGAAACAAAACACATTGCAGATTTGTAACAGAAACAGGAGGAATACATTCTTTAATAGTTCCAGGTCCATGAAGCTGCAGGAGAGCGCAGTCCAGAGCAGATCTGTGTGAAGACGCACAGGAACTCAAATCCGCACGGTTCCTACGAAACGTTTGGAAAAGTCTTTAGTGGGATGTTCATGACTTTGGAAGGATGATACATTCAGATTCAGGTCCAATCCAACTCTTTGTTTCTGCAGGATCTTCAATAACACTCGTCTCTTCTGCCGTTGGAAAATAAAAACGTCTTTCAGGACACAACGGCAGCTCGCTCTCACTCTCCTGTTAATGGCTTAGAATCCAGTGCACTGCTTCTGCAAATTAATACAGTTCTTATATATATATTTATTTATATATCTTTACATCTTCAACAGTTATTCTCCTTGAAATAACTTGAGTGGAGGACACACAACGAGCACTGATGATGAGCTTTATGTTCAGATCCAGTTTGTCAATAAAGCTTTTTTCAATTCCTTTCATCTGCTGTTGGACCAAAGGGCTTTCTGTTGCTTCAGTAACACCGTCTTCATCTCTGGAGGCTACAGATGCCGCTTACAAAAAGGTTAACAACAGGTACATGAAGTAAAGCCTCTGGTGTTTGATGATAAAGCTTAAGGAGGTGAAGCTAAATGTCTCTTCTGTTTGATGGATCGCTGCTGCAGGCACTGAGCACCACGGTGCGACAAATTCAATCACCACACAGAAAAACTCCTCATCGGATGATTTAAAGAGTTCCTTTTTGTTAACGTTGCTGCAAAAAGGAATAGTCCGGACTTCTTTCAGCAGTGGACACGAGTCTCCGTGCTACACAGAGCTTCAGGAGCGCCGGCTGCCACAGTGGCGTTACCGTGACGATGAGCTACAGACACAGCCTGTAAAGTATCCACCCTCCCTGGAAATCATTGTTTTACTCCAGAGCACAAAGTGGCTTTAGTTTTTACACTGATCAACAGAAAACAACCATTTAATGAGGATGTTATTATTATATTGTAAAGAAAAGCCCATTTGCATATTACGTTTAGTAATGGTATTGCTTCTCTAATCGACTGCCAGAGTAAATCATAAATAAGGTCGGATGATTAAATGAAGTCATAGATTTAGTAGAGTTCCGACTAATCCTATTTTTCTGTTAATTAGTGTAAAATATAATGATGTAAATACAATAAATCCTTCCAGGCAGTTGATACTCTTCACGGCGCTGTGACACACACTGATCGACAGTCTGACCTCAGGTGTGTGTGTGTCCTGCTCGCAGCGCCTCACAGGACCAGCAGGGGTCAGGGTTTCTGTCAGCTGAGGGTCATGTGATCATCAGGAACCCGGCTACTCGATGCATAGTTTTGACGAGATGCTGCGACCCGCCTCAGTCTCTGGTGAAGGTCAAACGGCTGGAGGGGGGAGGGGTGACGTCAGAAAACAAACGGGGTTCGGAGGCTCCTACGAGACGATCTCCAGGATGTAGAAGACGAGCTCCATGACGACGGGGCCCTCGCTCAGCTGGCAGGCCCCGCTGTGGATGACGGGTATCAGAGCGCTGTCCAGGTCGCTCAGGTACTGAGGGAGGAGGGGCTGCCCGTTACTGCCCGCCAGGTAACCCACCTGTAACCGTGACAACATGTTAGACTGGATCCTCGCTCCACACTACTGTCAGCAAAACATCAAGATTCAATTGATATGGTCTCTGAAATCTTTAAGTTATTAGTATTTACACACAAAAAAATACTAAATATCTACATGTCATATCTACGATTCCACAAAAAACGTGCTGCTTTTGTTCCTACGTTTTATTTACAGTCCTAAACACTACGATGATACACAATATAATAAGAGGTTCCCCACCTGGTCTGAGTCCAGCGTGACCCTCAGGCCCAGCTTGGCCATGCCGTCCTCCTTCAGCAGCTTCAGGTGGGGACACAGCGCCACGCAGAACGCCCTCGCCACGTTCTCCGTCAGCCGGCTGTGATCCGCCGGGTCGCTCAGACCGCTGGGCTGGTCCTCGCTCTGGAGGAAGAACACCTGAGAGGCAGGACACATCCAATCAAAGGCCGTGTTTCTGTTTCTGACACTAACCGCTCCAATAGTTATGACACATACATGTTATATAGGTATAATGCACATCATATAGTGTATATATAGCACATTACAAGCTTTAGGAGATGACTAGATTAGTACAGAACATGTTTTAAATGAGGGCTGTGATTCTGTCTAACAATGTCTTTACTTTTCAACACAAACAGCTCCAATAGTACAGCAACAGAGACTAAAGTTATGACTGTAATCTTCTGAATTAAATCCTTGTTAAGTATACTGCACATCATATAGTGTATATATAGCACATTACACGCTTTAGGACAGTGGTTCCCAACCTGGGGGTCTCACAGACTCGCTGCAGCGCCGTGCACACAGAGATCCGCCGGCGGAGAACAGAGCGTTCAAAAGTGACGATCTACAGAGCTCGATGCAATCGAGCAATCTGTCCACCAGCTGGCCAAAAGGCATCATGTTCATACGGAGAAATGCATTTTCAACTTCCTTAACTTGGAGTTCTGTTGCCCCAATTACGTGTAAGGTGGAAGAAGTACTCAGATCAAGTACTTAAGTAAAAGTAGTATACTGCAGGGTAGCTTGTGAATTTACTCCAGGTGGAACTAAAGTCTGATTTAAGAGTTGATTATATTTCACATCATTCATCCACATCTGTGAAGTAACTAAAGGTATTATGTAGTGGAGTAAAAGTACACCATTTACTGTAGAGGAGCAGAATTACAAAGAAGAAAAAGTATAAATAATTAATATACAATATAAGTACAGTACTTGAGTAAATCTACTTAGTTACTACCACCACTGCAGGCATGTCATGTGTGCTAGCAGCCCATAATCCACACTATACATAACATAAATCAAAGTGAATTCTGTTTAATTTGTTTAGTTTTTCCCCTAAAAAATAACCTATAAAAATACTGTTAAAGAACCGGATCGATAAAACGTATTTGTAATTGTTTAAATTATGCCTCATTATTTCACAGTGGCACAGGGTCATCTGCCAATACAAGCACTTTGGTTCATGTTCAATCCATAGTCAAATATAAAATTATAGTTGGATCTTTCCGTCTTGTTATTATTAGCAGAGAAAATGTAATGTTTGTACGACTATATACAATTAATTCCATCAATCTCGGTGGGAACCGGGTTGGGGGGGGTCCTCGAAAATATTTCCAATTACCCAAGGGGGGCCTGGCTGAAAAAGGTTGGGAACCACTGCTTTAGGAGATGACTAGATTAGTACAAAAAATGTTTAAAAACAGTCATAGTATAGTAATGCAAAAAAAGTAATATGGCATAAAAGAAAGTCACAGTATAATCATAAAATAATCACGTTATACAGTATCAGTAAAAAGTGATGGTATGATGTCATAAGAAGGTAAGTTGTCTTCATAAAGGTATACATTCTTGAGTTACGGCCACATTTCATAACTCAAGATCTTTGACCACCCATATCAGTTCACTCTGAAAGATTCTCGAGGCGGAGGCATGATATATTTTTGTTGATAATGACAAACTAGTGGGAGAAGAATTGTCCTTCTGGATACAGATCAGGTGAACCAGTGAAATGAGCCTCAGTGTGTTACTACCTCTGTCCAGCGGATGACTTTTCCGTTGGCCTTGAACTCGGAGCCGTGGAAAATCTTGACGCTGGTGATGGACTCCATGGACTTCCCATCGATCGGACTGATGACACTGAACGACCAAGACACGGAAAACAACAGCGTTTAATAAAACGGAGGAATCAGGAACAGATATTACAGTGGAAGGCTCGTGGGGAGATCACTGGCCTAAGACTGAGGATGAGGTTGGCCAGAAACAAAACATTAAAGCATAATGGGTATGCGTAACCCTCACAACCAAAAATATCTTCCTCCAAATCCTAAAACCACCATTTTATTTTTGGTTACACCATTCAGACTGGCAGTGGTTACAGACCCTAACTTTTATTAAAAAATTCGGTACGGTATACCGTAGCCGCCAGTATCCGGTATTTCGGTAACACCGGGTACCGGTATGCATCCCTAGCTGAAACCACTCACATTTCAATTTGCAGATTTGATCATGACTGCCTGTAAAATATATTGCGTTGGTCTGTATCTCAAAGCCTCGTCAAACCACATCATTCCACCCGGCAACCCTTTCCTCCAGAAGGATTCCCGAGCATGCATAATACGCTTTGATAGCAAAGTAGTAAAGCGGCGGTTGGGAAGCCATCAGCTCAATTATCCGTGAGATAAGCGCGTCGCTTCCGCCCTCCCTCTCCCCATCTGTTCACTTTCCTCCCCCTCTCCCCCATCTCACCCCTTGTTAAAGTTGTGGTCGTCCTCTGTCCACTGGATGTGGACGAGCTCCTGGTTCTCCTCCTGGTCTGCTTTCCCACAGGTGATGCTGAAGTCCTTCATGTCCCTCAGGGCTTGCCGTAGAGAGTCCATGGTCTCCGCTGTGATCTGGATCATTACACCGTCTGAGAAAAAAAAAAGAGCCATTATCATGATTACTGCTGAAACAAAGAGTCTAATTATCTGCAAGTCAATTACTCAACCATTTCCATTAAAAGAGGAAACGCCGCTGATTTAACACATGAGGATCAGATAACTTCATGATGAGGGTAACGATGCAGCTGGACGGAGGAGATCATTGATTGGACACCACAAGAACACAAGAGTCCAACTCCACCTCTCCAGACATGTTTTGACCATTTTGTAAAATGCTGTTTTTATGAGACCCAGAAGCGTTATGGAGGTACAATAACAAATCGCTGGAAAGCACAACATTCAGTGGATTTACTTCTTTCTCTGTTTGATATTGCTCTTAGTTGATATGTTTTGACTTTGTGGACTGTAACCTTAGACTTCAGAAAATTGTGATGGGCATTTTAAAATATCAGATGAAGATAGCAGTGGGAAAAATTATGACAACAACCTTGTGTATCACGATATACATATTATATACAGTATCATGATATAGTACATTTAATGAAAATATATTGAGAGGCTGTTTACAGATCAAGCAACCAGAGGCCTGTACAACGAAGCCGGATTTTCGCTTAGCGAGCTAACTTCAGGGGAAAATCTGGGTTTCCGGTCCTACGACGCTGGTTCTCTTCTAGCGGGCTAGATCTCCATGGTAACTTATGCTAACGGATAGCCTGGTCCGGAGCAGGTTAGCCGTTCAGCATAAGAGATTAACTCAGTGAAAACACCGCCTGCTGACCAATCAGAGCTCAGTGTGCAGAGTTTAAAGCGATCAAGTCATTTTACAGGAGAAAGGAAATACAGAAAAACTGCCGTTGCAGGAAAGACGGCCGGCAAAAATCACTGACTGTGTGAACGTGAAAATTAATAGAATATCACCTTCCATCTTCAGAGCAATCTGACTATTATAACATTAGCGTTAAGAAAGCTTACTTAAATATCTGTCACAAGTTAACATAAGTAACCGGATCAAAGTAACATTACGTACAGTCCGCGGCACTGAGTGCAGACGTCGATGTGTCCCATTATCATTCGTATCATATATGTCCTTATCTGAGTCAGCTTCTTGAGCCGTATCTGGCCTTGCAACACTCAGTGTCACATACTCTATGCAGAAGTATTATTTTAAGCAACACATTAAGTTGACAAAACACTCGAGTCAAATGTAATTAAAGTCAGATCGTGTCTTAGACGGGGCAGTGATATCATAAACCTGTTAATGTACGCATTCAAACACTTTTTCTGTTCCCAGCTGTATTCACCTTGCAGGTGCAGCTTTGTGGCTTTTATCCTGGATAAAGTGTTTAAGTCATGGATGTTTAAAGTTTAACGTCTTCATATTTGTCTAATATTATAGTTCACTTTTAATTCAGGAAGTATGACGCTGTGCTGTCAGTACGCTTCTCCATGTTTGTAATTGTTCAAATGTTGCTAGCCCCGCCCCTTTCACGTGCACTCAGCCGGACAGAGAAACCTTGGCTTGAGTTACCGAGTTGATAACCAGCGACGTAGGACCGCTTAGCGAGAGCGCGTTTGTTTTGGGTTAGGTAAGCCGGGTAACTCAAACATATCCAGGGTCTGTTGAACTGGATTCGTAGTACAGGCCTCAGATGTGGACGTCTATTTTTTGTGTATTTCAGGTAATAAAATACATTGCAAATTAAAGATACTTCAGCACAACATTAACCCAACAATCACATTCAAATAAAATATTACCAGGAAGCATTTTCTCATTAGTTTGTTTTTATATTCCCCCCCCCACAGTCTAATTCATGTTATAAACAGTATAGACACTTTCCCAGTTGGTCAGTTTAAACCATTACATTTTGAACAATTTGTGCCCAAATATTCTTTCTGTGTAGCGAGACCTTTGCGAGGTAGCTTCAAACATGTCTCAACTATTATTTCAGCCTTTTTACAGCCAACATGTATTCTGTTCATTTTCTCACCTTCAACAATGCTGGTTTTGGCTAAGAAGCCAGACGAGGCTTTCAAAGCACCGCTGAACACAAAGAAGCAGGCTCCAGTAACTGTAGAACAAAAATAATCACAACTTCAGTTGAACGTCACAAATCAACAATAGATCGAGGTTGAATTATATTTCAGGGGAACAGCCAGGACAAAGAGTAACATCAGACAGTCAGGAGGAGGATTTTCAGAGCTCCAGATATTAAAAAGCCGACGGAGACAGCTGAAAGGAAAGGTATTGATGTGTTTGCATGTCGGCACCTTTGCGGGGCTGGTGATGGATGCTGATGGCCTGCGTCTGGTAGTTCCCGTCATCGTTCTGGACACACACCAGGTGAGAGTCGGCCCGGTCGTTGAAACACGCCCCCATGGCCAGCACGTGCTCGTTGGACTTATTCATGGCTTTCATCAGCTGCAAGGACAAATAAAACCCCTGTATAATTAATCTGCCCTCTGTTGTGTTTCAGTAAACGCACCCAGAGGCCGCCTGGATAAGCCGAATTGCAGAGGGAATATGGGTAGGTCCTCGAGTGGAATGAGACGGCGTTAAGATGACAGATTGTGTGGAGAAGACGTTGACAGGGGTGGGTATCAACAGTAGAAAGATCCACACGCTAATTCTGCTAAAACCCCTCCCTCTCTTTGAAGACGCCCATCGCAAATCAGAAATTAAAGTGAGATTCTGGAGGGCTTTAACCACTTGCTGCGCTGATCGCTCGTCTGCAAGCTGTTGAGTAACGCTCCCCACTTCACATTACTGCGTTCCCATCTGTTGGAGAATCCGCAGCCAAACGCTACACCCAGCTCTTCACCAAGGCTCTATTTCTCTGCTTCTTATTCTGGTCGGACGTTCATTCACACCCTCGAGGGAGCGTTATAACTCGCCCACGCATACGGATCAGCTGCAGGGCCCCGGAGAGTTTGTCACACATCACCTACACAGACTGAACATGTGTGTGTGTGTGATATTCATGAGCTTAAAGGGAGCACCTCCACTGATGTCATTAGTCTGGTGGAGGGTTTCATTTCGTTAGAGAGATGATTTATTATTACGGAGGAAAAAGCTTAATCGTGCAACATGAGACATCTCTGCCTTCTCTCCTTTTCTAGAATCTGATTTAATGTCAAACATGTTTGAATAGAAAGGTTTTGTAGATTTAGGGAGCTTCCAAGAAAACAAGTTTGGCTGGTATGAAAGCAGTGTCAATCAAGATACTAATAACAAAGGGAGAGAGAACTGGATCCTGATCGTAGACGTTGACAAATACCTCCAGCCTTCTAGTAGTAGTAGTAGTGTAGTAGTATTATTAGTAGTAGTAGTAGTGTAGTAGTAGTGTAGTAGTATTATTATTATTAGTATTATTATTAGTAGTAGTAGTAGTATTATTGGTAGTAGTGTAGTAGTAGTAGCACCTTTCAACACAAGGCAATTCAAGGTGCTTTACAAAAATGAAAGACATTCAGACAAAGGCATTTAAAAAGAAGATAATAAAAGCCTGGATTTAAAAGTAGTCAGAGTTGCAGCGGACCTGCAGGTTTCTGGGAGTTTGTTCCAGATATTTGGAGCATAATAACTGAACGCTGCTTTACCATGTTTAGTTCTGACTCTGGGGACAGAAAGCTGACCAGTCCCTGAAGACCTGAGAGATCTGGAGGCTTGTAGTAGTAGAAGTAGAAGTAGTAGTAGTAGTAGTAGTAGTAGTAGTAGTAGTAGTAGTAGTGGTAGTAGTGGTAGTAGTAGTGGTAGTAGTGGTAGTAGTAGTAGTAGTAGTAGAAGTAATAGCTTCTCCTGCATACCTTTAATATTTGCACCATATTTATACATCTATCTATTCTTTGTTGTACGCATTGTTGTTGATGTTTACAACAGTCATTCTTGCTGTGATATTGACCACGTAAAGAAAACATTTTAGCCTTCTGAATTGTTACGCCTTTATTAAATGTGACCATTTCTCTTTTGGTATCAAAAATGGTATTGAATAAGGATGTTTTTTAAGTATATTGAAGTTGAATGTTCTAGATGTGACGACACTATCTGTACTTCATTTCTCAAAACACAAGGTCGAGTAGATATCTGGAGTAATAATGCTAACGATGGTTTTTAGCTTTTAGGATATTTCTTGCTTTCTCTGTTATACTTTGTATTTAGTTTAATATATTTTGCTTGTGGACTGGACACAATGAGCTATGTGTAATGTTCACTGAGCTTTTAGAAATTGCAATTATTTTTTGTGATGTTAGAGTGTTTCTCAGCTGCAGGGCACTCACCTCATTGTAACGGTTACTGGGGACCTTAATGCTCGTCTTCCTCACCTCCATGTCCACAACCAGACCTTTCACCACCGGCAGCGTGTACTGGTAGTTACGGAAGTCCTTCGACAGGGATGAAGAGGAAAGGAATACTGTATTATTAAAAATGAGTCAAATACGTAAAGACACTTGGGTTGCGGTCGAATAGTCCAAACATCAGCTCCTAACGTCTATCCCTATCGTCTATTCCTTGACCTCTGAGTGAAACGTCACGGGGTTAAGGGATAGTGGATAGGAGAATTCAAAAGGACTTAGGAGAAGAGACTGCGGTACTTTAGAGAATCCGACTGCACTTTCACTATCTGACGTGTTTATGATGCGTCAGCGGACGTCATTGTGTGCGTCTGCTGCTGTGGGGAAACTATGGAAACTACAGTTTTCTATACAGCGGACTACAACATGAATGTTTAATAAGAACGACGGACTCATCTAGAGACTCTGCACCGTGCTCTGATGCTGTTGCTTTGCTTTATGAACGTGGACAACAGAGAAACATATTCTTCATGACCAAAGTTGGAATTGAAATAAAAAAGGAAAGTGAAACTTATGCTCATCGTCACCCTCTCCCTCCGGTCCACATTAATACAAATGATCTCAATACGTATGATTGTATGAACTATGATCATATCTTAAAGTCAATACAGATGTATTTATTATAAACGTTAGTCCTTAACATCTATCACTGTGTATATCACCATTCAAACATCTTTTAAAAGTTGAACAAACTCCACACAGCTCAGTAAAGACTGTGAAATGTTGACTTTATTTGATCATTTTAGTAAAAACTAACGTTCATATTTCTCTTTTTGATTATAATACTGATGAACGTTCAAAACAAAGCACTTTGGCAACTTACCACATACGTTTTAATAAGCACCGTAACTTTCATGATATCATTTCTCCGTCATAAGCGCTTGTTTCCGTGAACGGCCGACTGTTGTGCGACGGCAAATGCTGCGGCTGCAATGCATTGTGGGGCAGCACTTTCTCCTCTCCTTTCGGTGAGGGAGGTCCAGTGGTTCCTAAACTAAAGGAGGTTATAAAGGAGGTTTGAAACCTCCTTTCCTATCATCTAGAGAATTGTACGTACTTCCGGGTCATTTCACTCCGTTAGGAAGGTTCCTAAGCTAAATGGACTATTCGACTGCAACCTTGGTAACGTGTCATCTCTGTCTGACTTCAGAGAGTGCACTACAGTTTGGAAAATGTATTCCAGGCAAATGTTATTCCTCAACAACATAAAGCAGAACTCTTAAGCCTTGGAAATAAATAATAATACAGGAAGAGAAAAACAAAGGCACTCACTGCGAGCAGATTCATGATAGTGTGACCGGTCTCTCCGAAGAGCGGCTTTCTGAAGCGCACACTGAACAGCGGACAGGGGTAGACTGCAAAACAAAGTGTTAGTTGTTTATAAATCCACAAGGGAAAAGTATTACTACCAACATGTTGTCTAGAATAAATATTTCAACAATGTGTGGCATTACATATGGTCTTAGAAAAGATTAAAATACTTTGAAATGTACTCTGCTGCTGTTAAAACATTCCTTATTGATTGTTTGTATTATTTTTATTTCCCTACTCTCGGTTCCACGCCTATTTTTGCTTTGCAGGTGTTTCCAGGTTTTCCAAGTCGTGTTTCCTGTGTTTTGTTCCTCTTCACTCATTAATGCAAATGAGCTGAAGAGACCCCACACATCAAAAAGAGAGCACCCCCTGCCGTTAAGAGGAACACTCCTAATCTACAACTGATAACTAAGGGTGTTTTTGCACCAGCAACCAAAGCTTCTTAGGTGACTATTTTAGCTTTATCTCAGCAAACAGCTGGAAAAAAGCTCTCGCCCCAAACTCTCATTAGCAATAAAAAACAAATCTGCAGTTCAGCGGAGATCTGTACGATGGCGTGCTGCACAAACTGCTGGACACTACTACAGGTCAGAGGTGATGACATAGAGAGCTACATCGTTTGTTAGGCAGATTCATTTTAGGCGATGAGGGTATTTAGTGTTGAAGGGCCTGGACGGTATGTGGCTGTGTTAATGTATTCCATCCAGGCTGGAAGCAGGCGAGGCTTAGCGGAGGCAGGCAGCTCGGCTGAGAGAGAGAGGGGATTTGGGGGAGAGAAGGCTCTCCGATAAACCCCCTCACAAGACGTCCTGGTTCATGCGAGAAGCCGTGAGAAACGCAGGCTAGTTTGATGTATAAAGGCGTCTTCTGACAACTGACATACTAAGCTATTTGGATTAAACTAGATCTGAATATTTACCAAAAGAAACCATCAAACCAACCATAAGAGGACACTGACACTCTAAGCTCTCCCTTTCTCCAAATTGTGACATTTGGTTCTAATGACAGAAACATATACATTTTGTTAAAGGAAAATCCTGCCCCTAATGTGTAGATATCTTATAAATGTTGTTGCAAAATGTATTTAAATAAAGCAATACATTTCTTAGATGTGTGCTAAAATTAAAACAGAAAGCAGAGTTTGAAGCTGCAAAATCTTTCTTTCCTGCATCCAGCGCAGTGAGAGAACTAAAACTACAAACTATTCCAGCTTGTTTGTAGTTCTGGTAGCCAGGTGCCTTGCTCTAGATGTCACCCAGAATGTCCTTGATCTCTTCACTTGTAATGCAAACTAGCTACTTTTCTAACAGCGAAAAAATAGCAAAATGCATTAAAATATGAAAATCTACACTTCCACATTTACTGGAAAACAATAATCAATCAATCAATGTTTATTTATATAGCCCAATATCACAAATGTTACATTTGTCTCAGTGGTCTTCACAGTGTGTACAGAATATCAGAATAATCTGCTTATGGAGATCATACGTTATAACTTATGAATGAAAGCTTCATAACAAATATAGTATTATATTCATTAATATTACGTTTCCAAGGACAAGAATGAACTTTTTAAATTGTATTTGTGTGTGTATAGAGATTTTTTTGCATTTTCTTCACAGACAATAAAACTAAATGTGAATAAAACTGTGTGTAAACACTTTAAAATAACATTAAATTGTATTAAGTCCCCTATCACTATTGCTACCGTCTACAGTGAGAACCCATTAGCCCTTACTCACAGCGGTACTCTGCGCCCAGCCGCAACATGAGGCGGATGGGGAAGACTTTGGCCCAGGGCGTCTCCCACTTCTGGATGAGGAGGCCGAAGAGGTAGGGCGGGTTGGGCAGCAGCAGGTCCTGCAGCGACTGGAAGGAGGGGCTGATGTACAGGAAGCCCCCGTGCTCCTTACTGCCCAGGAAGCTCTGCGTGAAGAACGAGTGACTCAGGTGGCTCAGCACGTTGCCTTTAGGAGGGGAGTAGAGGAGGGAAGGAGAGGAGGGAAGGAGAGGAGAGAGGTTAGTGGCATAGTAGGAGATGTGAGGATAAAGAGGGGGGGGTTGGTGAAACAGCATGGTTTTTTTATTCAGAAAGGGGTGGGGTAAATGCAGACCAACATGTGAAAAGTGTGTTGGGCACTGTAATGTTGCAGTATGTTTGAGAAAGGGATGTTTGGAGCCTTGCTGACTCTGAATTGAGTTCTACAGCAATGAATATAAAGATATGTTTGCCCTAGAGTCTCATATTACCCACACAGGGTTCATGTTACTAATTATATGCGAGACGGATTGCTGGCTTTACACGACATCAACTGCAAAAACGACATGACAAGGCTCAGGGGCCGGGACTTGCTAAAGCCAGCAGTTCTTCCCCAGTCCTGACTGACGGCGAGTTAATCAGGAATGACACACACAGTATGGCTCTTTTCCAACAGCCTGAAACTGCTCCAGTGACAATATTAAAAAGGAAACAGCCTGAGGGGAGCGAGCCGTCAAAGTCACCCGATTGTGCTCTGCAGCATACGGGGGTAAAAACGCAAGACAAGCGTTGGTGAGGTGTCACACCCCGAGGGAGGAGACCTGACAGCAGGGTGATAATGTTTAGAACATTTTTCATGTTGTAGTAGTAGTAGTAGTAGTAGTAGTAGTAGTAGTAGTAGTAGTAGTAGTAGTAGTAGTAGTAGTAGTAGTAGTAGTAGTAGTAGTAGTAGTAGTAGTAGGCAGAGACGCAGTAACCTGGTTTCCAGATAGAGGACAACTAGGAACACCAGTTGTCTCTATGGAACAAAAAATAGAGCTGGGACATTTCTCCACCTTACATTACTTTAAGGTTAGCTCATTTTTAACACAACAGCACCTGACAGGTAGACTCATGACTACTAATGAGCTGCCATCTCCCTCCAGAGGGGCCCACGTTGCAGGTGGACTAGTTTTACAGTGTGCCTCCTGGTGGAGCGGTTACTTGTGTTCTCACCACTGAGGGCCTCCTGGTAGAGCTGCACAAAGTGTGTGAAGATATCTTTGGGGATAGTCTTCTCGTCAGGGAGACACTGGAGCAGAATGACCACCTCTGCCTGGCCGACGGCGTGCATGCCCTTCGTCGTCACGTACCAGCACTTCCTGTTTACATCTGTGGGGGGGGAAGAACAGAAAAAGAGTCAGTAACTATTTCCTGCATGTGACAGTTACATCAGAGCCATACACTTTTCTGATGGTTCTTTCAGAAAGTTAAAACATGATTGTTTCGCATCTGAATAAACTTTAAATAAAGTAAACTTCCTTAGAATCATTTCAATATAGCACAATTCTGTAATGATTCCCAAACAAGTCTGAACTAATTGTAGTCAGATTTACATAAAAGGCAACACCAGCACAAGATTAAAAATGCACAGACAGAAATTAAATGTGTGTCTTGTTCCTTGCTTTTTTAGTGAACTTCACAAGCAACATAGAATTGCTTTAACAGTTAGAGCTACATGTGAATTATTAGGTTTATTTATGTTTTTAAACCATTTAACATTGAGAAACTGTAATGTCCCATCTGTCTGTCAAGGTGGGGTTTTTTCTGCCCCCTTGAAATACCTAAAATCTAAGATCTTAAATGTTCATACCTGCCAAGTGCTCAAATGAACATCCAGCAAAGCACTTTAAATACAGCATGAGAGCTAATGGGAAATAAAATCACAACTTAATGCGTTTGAAGTCTATGCTTGCTCACTGTTGCAGATTATACAATAGGCAGCACACTCAGAAAATGTATTAAGGAATTAACTGGTTAATCCATGCTTGAAAATGGGTACAACAAAAGACAAATCATAATGTTGGATTCTCTGCAATTCACAGACAAAAGCCTAGTTAAAGCAAAATTAAAAATGTATGCAGTACAAATATTAACTTCTCATTTTTCTTAGATCTACAGTACACTAAACCAATTATTTACCAGCAGAACCTTGCACTACTCCTCCAGAGGTTCCTAGTGTGAATACTATTCAAACAGTGGTAGAGGAACGTCTGGGTAACTCACAGTTGACTAGCTTGACCATGGCGAGCAGGTTCGCGTTGAGCACGAAGACCAGGGGGTCGGGGCCTCCCTCCTCCAGCTGCTGCATGAGGACGATCTCTGAAGGCCTCTCCTCCACTGCATAGTCTGCGGAAGATGTGGAGGAAAAGAAGGAGAGAAGGGTGGAGGGAGGAAAAGAAGGAGAGAAGGGTGGAGGGAGGAGTCGAGGTAAAGTTAGATAAATGGACGGGAAGGAGCGAGGGCGGGACATGTCGGAGTGAGGATGATAAAGGAGTGGCATGTGAGGTAAGTGAAGGAAATGATAACAGATAGATTCCCTCCCAGTTATTTAGGACATCATCACTGCGTTCCCATGACGAATTCCTCTCCTCCCCCCCGCCCCGCTGACAATGAGTGGTCGCAACATGAGCCGTGAAACGGAGCACATGTAAAACACACTGAACAAGCACAAACACAGCAGCAGCAGCAGCCATGAGGAGGCAGCAGAATGGTGAGGATGAGGGCAAGCACCTGTGATGTGGCCTCCCGTACCTCCTTTGACTCCGGTGGAGATGAGGATGGGAGGGAGCCCGTCCTCCGGGATCAGGCTGAACGAGCTGCCCACGGGGCTGCCCACCGGGGCCACAGGGGTGTGAGAGGCCTGTGGGGCGAGGGGGGAGTGTGAGCTATAACATACATTGATATGCATTATCAGGGTCTATGCAGGAACCCTGAAGTCAGATGTAAGACCTTTTAAGACCTTTTTTAAGACCCTTTCCATACATCTTAAGACCTCATCGCCACTTCGAGTTCTAACCGGTTACCTTGGCGACACACTTTACCTCACATTGACTATATACAGTATTGATTGTCCTTCCTCCTGATCTTCCAACCATTTGGACGCAAACTTACATTTCCCCAAAACGATGTTGTTTAACAACCGGCGTAAACGGACCTTCGCGCTATCAAGCAGTGAGCGTGCGATGTTCTGTTCAGATGACGTCAAACCCAACGGGATGCCATCAATAAACTACACAGAATCACACTACACACCTACGCAATGATTACATTCAGGCAGACTGTAGAATACAACCTCTTTGGACCATTTATAGACTTATTGAAAACAAGCTACTAAATGTAATACGCTGTAAAAAGCACGACCAATCATCTGAGCCGGCTAAAGTAACTGGATGGCCTACCTGCCTGTCAGCCTTCCATCTGTGCACAAACTTCTCTCGTGTCCTCATTGGTCATGTGTGCGTTTGTGTGTGTTGGAGGAGGGGCTCTGTGAGGAAGTGGCAGATTTCTTCCGGTTGTGTATTTTCAAATTCTAGCGCACTCGAGCTGGTTTCTCCAAAATCACCTACCCCACGTTTAACGGTGTCGTGTGAAAGTCAGATTTTATACTCAAGTCCTGTCTGCAGAGCAGGCCGTCTGAGCAATCACTAACAATCATATTATCTATCAACAGAGGTCTAATTAGTGTAAAAGCAGCAACAACAACAGAACCAACCAGACTGTACTTACAGCACCTACAGAGCATTGCGCGGTCAGACTCCTGCTTATGTGGCTGACCTAATTCATCCATATACATCAGCCCGCCCACTCAGGTCACACATGCACAATTTACTGTCTGTCCCGCGTACCCACCTTCAGACCCGCGGTGATCGAGCGTTCGAGGCCGTGGCTCCTAAGCTATGGAACGCTCTGCCCGCTCATCTTCCGTCTGCTGACTCCTTTAAAGACATTTCTGTTTGGGCAGGCGTTTGGGTAACCGGTGTGCTAGATTTTATACTATGTTTTTATTGGGTTTTGGTGCTTTTATGACTTCTTAACACGATTCCTATGATGATATTTTATTGTTTTGTCAAGCACTTTGTGACTTTGTCTGTGAAAAGCGCTTTATAAAGAAACTTTACTTACTTGTTGTATTTGTTCTGAGGGAAACTTTATCTGATTAAGCAAACAAGGAATGTTTCCTTTGAATGTTTTGCAGTCTGTGACCCCGCGGAGAATCCCACTGAAAGAGTTCTTTGTTGCTTCAGACTAGCTAATGTGAACATTACACGCTCACCTAATAGCATTAGCTGAGGGTGAATGTTTGTCGTGCTGAGCGTACCTCGGAGTGTTCAGCAGTGCAGGATTTGTTTGAGTACGTTGATATGGCCATTGAGTGGGAGGGGGCCGGACTGGATGATGCAGGTTTTGGGGACTCCGATGCGTCTCCGTTAGGTAGCAGTCCATCAGCGAACCACACCCTCCTTTGCTCCCGTGTCAGGGTGCCTGAAGACGAGACAATCACCAGGTTACAGAAAACTGCATGCAAGCAAACCCTTATCATAAGTAGCATATCAAATATTTCTTTAAAATCGCTGGGGACAGAATGCCAGTGTAAAATGTAAACAAATTAATTGCATTTTTTATTCAATGTAAAGTTTGTACCCTCGTTGCCAGCTGGTTTCAGGACTCCCACAGGCACCATGACGGTAGGCGGGGGGGAGCTGAGGGCCCCCGAAGCCTGGGCCTGCTGCAGGGGGGGGATTGTGGAGCAGTACTCCGACGGGTTGTTGGGGTTCGGACTGTGGTTGGTTGCAGCGGCCAGCGTCTCCCAAGATGGAGCTAATCGAGAGAGAAAACACCATCAGTACAGTTAGTTTTTAGACTTGATACACAGACACATTCTTGCCATCATGATAGTAGAACATATAATTTTAGCAATACATCAAATCCTACATTCAGATGTCCCATGCTGTGTGGGTGACTGCTTTTATGAAAGAAAATGGAAAATGCCAAATCTATAAAGAGACAAATATTGGTAATTAAATTATCACTGGGCTTATTTGTCCAGACTTGCTATGATGTCAGGTACTGGGAAACAATATCCTTATGATATTGAGGCAGACGCAGATTCTAGGGCCAGGCGTCCCAGCTGCTCTCCCCCAATTGCAAGCCCAAGGGCATGATGGGAAATGCTTTGCGGTCACCTGATCCAAGAGCTAATTTGTGTCTGTTTTGTAGACAAATCCCTTTGCATGTAATATTTTAGATTATAGGCTACGAAGGTTCAATCTGTGACCAAACATATGTGGTTGATAATAATAAAAGCTTGATTAGAGGGCGCTTATCAAAACAAGAAATTACAAAATGGTCAACAATGCAGACAAAAAGAACAAATGATAGAATACAATGCCAGATACACTCACATTTGCAACTATAACTACAAATACATTTAAATGAATACAAAACAGTACATGTTCTGATAGTTTCTAACAGGATTGTAAATATTTCTGTGACTTCCTGTATATTAATTTTAAGCTACTGTCCAACTTGACTGCAGTTTCTTATCACAACCCTTGCCGCTGCCATCTGATCTCGACCACAAACCAGGCAAAGGTCCATTTCATCCTGATTGAGCCGATTGACAGGATGTCATATTATGACAAGCACAGGTGGAACTAATTTAATTAACGAGTGCTTTCTCCCAATCAGTGGCGCAGTAAGTCATTACATTGAGCCAGCAGACTCTCCTGAATGAAACTCGCAATTAGTGTCATTCATTACACCTGTGCTTTCCTGTGTGTCAAAATATCAGCTGTGAAAAGGGACTATGTATATAGTCTCTGTGCCCATTACCATACAGTTCAATGCTTCACATGTACTGGATGCAATTACAAAAATGTTTCTCTTTGAATTTAACTCATTTCTGTGTACAACCAGTAGGTTACGTTTACCACAATATGAACCTTTTGAGTATTGGGATCAAAACAAAATATATTTTTGGACCAATATTTTAATTGTTTTTAATAGTTTCAGTCTTTTTGACTAGAGCAGCATCCTCAGTTCCATTGAAATATACAAAGCGTACATTTAAAAAGCCACATATACATTGTAAAGAATTTCACTTTCTACTTGCAAAGCTGCTTACCACTGGTCAGAGCAGAATGACAGGTGACACAGACGCGAGCCTCCTTCCTGTCCATGTACATGAGCCTGCACTTCAGGCTGCAGCACGCCGCACAGAACACCTTCAAAACACAATGAAAAAATACTATTTGAACTACATTCCTACAAAGTGATGAGCCCACTCGACAAAGCACATTTTAGTTATACTGTGAGGATTTTAAAAAGGTGGAGGATTGGAAATGAGTTGTGATTAAGTGTGCCGCAAATGTCCCATTTTATGGATATTGATTTCCTGTACCTCATTTCCTGTACTGCCAGCGCTCCAGTGAGCTACAGCTGCGCACAGGGTACTTTACATTCAATGGATCAGCACCTCATTACACCTCATTATCCAGAAACACTGGGTTCCTCACAGCTGATGGTGGGTGCACGGAGGAGCCCGCTGTGTATATTGTTTGCAGGCCCAGTGCTGGTGTCAGTGTTGCTGCAGTGCCAGCTCCTCCCTGCTCAGGAGGCAGAGTGTGTTTGTTTACCACCACAGGAAATTAAGAAGCAGTCCGGAGATTTTCTAGTGCAGTGTCAGCGACCACACCTTCACTTTAAAGCACTGCGAGGACACCCCGCTGCTTGAGTGGGGGGCCGTAATGCTAGAAAGCTACCAGCACAATAACGCCTATCAAATCACTTCATTTACCTCCTTACACAGAACCCAGTAAAGCTTAAGTTGTTTTTCTGCTTCTTTTTTTGTCCCGCACTTATTTTTCCTCTTTTGTTTGCAGTTGTATCTTTTATTTACGTACATTTATTTTTTACCTAAACAAAAACTGCTTCATTGTCAAACAGGCCTGATGATTCCAGGTAAGTGTGTATTATAGATGAAGCAATGTATTAAGTAACAAAAGAAGCTAATCAAAATGAGTAGGCAACCCCTTTGCTAATTCAGTTATCACTAAAATAACTGTTCAAGCAAAAACGCCATAAATTATCTAATTCAAGCATTCTTTAATTTTCTATCTTATGTGCAATCTACATGAAAATGCTAAAGTGTTTTGCAAGTTTAGCATTCTTTAAACCCATCTTGAAAGGCCAACATCATTTGGCTTATCTCTCTGACAAACCCCCAGGAGAGGTGTGAACATTATGGAGAACAAACATGTGGAGTAAGCAATAATAAAACGCAGCATGGTAACAGTAAGCTTTTTGGCAAGAGCTTCTCAAAGTCATGCACCCGACCTCAATCTCAATACAGTATATATCTAATGGATGCACTCTAGTAGCTCATACAGGCTACAGAAGGCTTATGAAAGCTATTTCTTACTTCATCTGATTGATTTCGTGATCATTTTAAAAATGTGTATAAATATTGAGTCTCCTTATTTATGATAGGCTGACACCAAACATGTACTATTTTAAGCACTTAAAGGTGGGGTAGGTAAGAATGGAGAAACCAGCTTGAGTGCGCTGGTTTGAGTCTGGAAAAAATCTGCCCCTTCCTTCAGACTTCCTTACAGAGCCCCTCCTCCAACACACACGAACGCGCACATGACCAATGAGGGCACGAGATAAGTTTGTGCACAGATGGAAGGCTGACAGGCAGGTAGGCCATCCAGTTACTTTAGCCGGGCCGGCTCAGATGATTGGTCGTGCTTTTTACAGCGCTACGGCTTCCACAGATTACTTTTTTTTATGTATTTATTGTCAAAGCATTTAATATATTCATTGCTATCGGGATGTTAAGAGCATTCCATGGAATATAACAAAAAGTGTTTCTGAAGTGAATGACCTACCCCACCTTTAACCTTCTGCCAAACTACACCCAACAAAGTGTTCATCTATTCATGAAGGAGTTCACTTTGTTATTGATATATATAGCACTAGAGGTAAGAGGAAAAATATATATTTTAGATTGTACAGTGAAGACTCCCAGCTGTAGCACTGACCTTGCCGCAGGCCCTGCAGTGGTGCCTCCTCTTGGTGAAGGTGAACTTGACATCACATTTCATGCAGACAGGAGCCTGGGAGTCAGGGACCCACACAGGGGCCACCTCACCCAGGCAGCTGGAGGGTTTCCTGCTCAGAGAGCCCTGCTGGCCGGCCTGGAGGTCATTGTCCGGGCTCTCCGAGGGCATCGAGGCAGGAGAGTGGACCACACCCTCTCCGTTCACCCCCACTAAACTGGGCTCAGTCCCACTGGGCGTGGTTTCAGAGGGCGTGCCTCTCCGACACTGGTTGTCATGGTTTTTGTTCCTGCTGTTGGCGAGCTGATTCTGGACCTGGCCCGACAGAGGCTGTGGGATTTGGAGCTTGAGGTTGACCGGCTGTTTCGGTCGCGCTCCTCCGAAGGGGACACTGACCGGCTGCAGGCGATTGTTGAGTTTTGGTTGGATGCTACCTGACCCCACTGCTACTCCCTCACTGCTCTCCTGCTTGCTTTCCTCCATTTCTTTCTCCTCAGTGACAGAGTCCTCTTTGGAGGGGACAGGAGAGGGAGAAAAACCCTCCTCCTGCTCCTCCTCCGTCTCCTCTGCTTGGAATGGTTACTGCTCTCCTGCTCTAAACCATTGGGAAGGCTTGGTATTCTGAGGAGTTGGTCCATCTGTCCCTTTGGACCACATCTCCTCTGCTTTATATCCAGTCCGTTCCTGTCAGGAGGAGATACACCATTCTCCTCCACCTTACAATCACTACGAATGTCTTGTTCCCTATGCAGGAGACTCTCTACATGCTGCTGTTTGAAGTTAGCAGTCTGTTTTTCATGACCATTGTCCTGTAAGACAGCTGTACCGGCCTCCTGTTTGACATCTTCCCCATTGTGTGTTGTTGGTTGCACATTTGTATTTATTCTCAGTGCCAGAGTTTCTTTTTCTAATCCAACCTCAAAGGTGAAGTGAGTGTGACCGACGGTGGAGCCTCCTCCTGATGCCGAGTCGGCTCTTTCCTCCTGATGCGATTCCTGATCAGAATCCCCAGGAGGTCTGTCTGAAGGAGAATGTATCTTCTTGCTGAGCCCCCCCAGTGTTGGGCTTGCAGGGCAGCCATTCTCCACAGCAGGGCAGGCCGTCACAGGGGGCGGCGAGAGGTCGTCGGTGCCCACCAGTTTGCCGATGTTGGGCTGGGGGAGGGGAGGGCTGTGGACGTCTGCCGGCCTCTCCTCTACCCAGGATGGAGGTTCTAGACCTGGAAGTCTCTTTAAGTCTCCCCCCGGGGAGGTGCTGGAGGAGTTGGGGAGGGTTTTGAAGGGCAGCGGACTCTCCCCGGGACTGAGGTCTGCGTGGGCCAGGGCGGGGTTCAGAGAGAGCAGGTGGGCCGGCGGGGCCAGGATCTGGGTCCACTTGGCATCCGAGAGAATGGGATTGTCGGTCTCATCTGGAGGGAGAAAGAAAACTGATCAGTACATGGATCTCATGATACATTATTTGATCAACAGCTCCAAGAAGAGTTTACATTTAACCAATAGTGGCTTTGCTGCACATTGCATAATATTTGTTACATATAAAGCTTCTATTGAGGTTTCAAATGAAAGGTTGAACGTCTGTCATTATATTCTATAATACCATAGGCATTAAAAAAATTAATTTCTTTGTTATTGTGGTTGTATAAATGTTTTTGTATAAATCTCTGCTTGGGTTGGTTCCCTCCTACATTTGCACATATATGTGTAAAAGAGAAAGTCTATATGGCCTGCACTCCCAAGATGTTATTCAGATGCTGGTTCCTAACGTAAGAACAAAACTGGGTAAAACAGCTTTTAAACATGCGGCCCCCACAGCTAGGAACAATGTACAGAAGGAGCTGAAACTCTCAGATGTAATCACTATGGGGGAATTCAGGTCCATCTTAAAAAGGACAGAGAACACGACACCATCGGTCGATGCGAGTGCTCGTATATCCAAAAATCGTTTTAAATGTTGCCAGTTTTGAATGATTTGTAATAGTTTGTTTTATTTCGCATATTGACTGGCTAATGAGCCATTTTATTTGTGTTTTACAGCTGTCTTTGTCTGCCTGTCTTGTCTGTGTTTTATCTGTTGTAACTTCCTTCATGCTGCCCTTCTTGGCCAGGTTACTCTTGGAAGAGAGATTGCAATCTCAAGGAGTCTTTTACCTGGTTAAATAAAGGATATATATTTTGTATGGTGCTGTACGATTGCTGCTTGACTGCATGGTTAATACAGCTACGGTGAAAATGTTACTTTTGAAACGATAAACGACAACAAATACTGATCAAGCCAGACAAATTCTGACAGATAAAACACGCTGTGAATTTTGAAAATCATAGTATTTATTTATTTCCCACTAACAAGTTATGGGAAATGTTTGGATCACAGGAGAGAGAGAGAGAATCTTATGCAGCCACCCCTAAAATCTTATTCTCTAAATAGCATAATACTATTAGCTGAATCTTTATCTGACACATTTAAATAAATAAATACAATGTGTAAAAACACATGCAAATCCTCACATTATGAATAAAGCCTTCTACAATTCAGTTCAGCCCAGATTTGTACCCGGAGAAAAGATCATGAAGCTTAAACACAAGACAGGAAGCCTCAAATATGCACACTCCCAGGTGATCGAGAGCTAAAAATGGGAGAGCCAAACCAGGGGACACATTGAGAAATGAGGTTGGCAGGGAGTGGGAAATTAGTGTGGGAATTCAGTGAAAGTGGGCCAAACGGCTCCGTCACCCCTAGAAGACATCAGTCAAGCTAGCTGACACATGAATGCTGGGTAATACTAGCGGAAAATCTTATAAAATGTTTTCAAAAGGACTTTTACAGCCAAGTCAGCTACTGTATAGTGCTTTACTTCATTCACTGGAACTCATGCTAAGCTGTTTCGGCATGCGCTGTACCAGGTTCAAGCACACACACAGAGTTAATCTGCCAAGCTGGATCTCTGGCAAAGTACACACAGATAATCGCTCACAGCCAAAATACCCACTGAGCTCAGAGAACCATTCAAATATGTGGTGTGTGGAGGGCTGGCATATTTCTGGGGTCACCTTCAGTCATAAATCCAGAAAATGAGCAGTCTTGTAGTCTCTGTAATAACAGAGCGTTTGTTCTGGAGAGCTGGGAGCGATACACCGCACAGTGATGCAGTGTTTACTTTACGATCACCATAAATAAACTCTGTGAAAGCACTGTTTCTAAAAAGGCCGTAACACCATTTCTTTAGTAATTGTCAGCATTAAGTGTGAAGAAGAAACAAAAGACTCTTGTCTTGCACCAATTACACAGTTTCACACAGGCCCGGGGGAAATTGATAATCCAATTAGCCCCATCCCCTCTCTGCACACTTTCAATCGACACCTGTAAATGTTGCAGGAACTGGTCGGTGTAGGCTCAGTCTGGCACACTGATGGTTTACTCACGGGTTACATAAGGGCATCCTGACCACAGCTCCTCGGAAACTTCAATCCCACAATTACACCATCTCTCAGACACAATGACTCACTGTCTGGCCCCGTGTCCTTTCCACATCCTTCTAAACAGAGGAGCTCACCTTCGTTCTGCTCAAACTCGTCCAGCACCTTGTCCAGGTTGAAGGCCTCGGCCTGGAAGTAATTCTCCATGGGTCAGGAAGCTCCACGCTGCCGACGGCCGTGTGAACCTAGAAACACAAGAGAGTGTCCTTAATAACACATCCTTTCATTTCCATGCAGTATTCAAATGTCCCCCATAGCCTGTTTCATATCTCCTTTGTCACATCTCACTTCAATAAGCTTTGTTTAAGTAGAGACATCCCCTCCAACCCCCTTTGGCTCTTACTTCTCATGTTCCTTCCCTACCAGTCGTGTTTGTGATTGCTCTGGGGCCACAAAGATAATAAAAGGCAAGTATAGGTAAGGTCAAAAAGTGCTTTATGATTACGAAGGTTATGGAGTGAGTTATAAGCCTTGAATATAGTAACAAGGAGGCATTCAGGATACTCAAGTATTACATGCTCTACCTCTTTGAAGTTTTGCCATCATTAAATGTGTTGCAGCATCATTTCATCCGCTTATTATTTTCTTCATTTATTGCATGGTCGATTAAATGATAAGATGATGTACTAAATAATGATGTTCCCCTTAAGTCCAAGGTGACATCTCCAACTGACTTCCATCATCTAACCTCAAAATATTACATTTATATTATGTAAAAAAAAAGGGCAAAAACATTTGGATTCAAACTGGAAACAGATCATTTGTTTCAGTTTTAAAAATACGACTTAAACAATAAATTCATTATGATAACAGTTGAACATAAACGTTCTCATCAGCTAATTGCCTCGTGTTCTGTACGACATGATCAATTGTTTTGTAACTTGGACATAGTCTTCATTTAAAATGCATTTCTGACTCCTATGTATACATGTATTATATCTGGCTTCTTCGTCCCTCCTCACCTGCACAGAGGTCCTCCTCAGCAGTCCCAGGCGGTGGGTTTGTTCGCAGCAGGTTTCCCTCTCACTTCTCACTTCACCCAGTCTGGCAAGCGCCCAGCGCCCACACCTTAGAGAGGGAGGGAAACACCTTTGAGTCAAACAACTGCTTCCCATCCTGCGTGGAAAAGGATGCTGCTCGTCTCATTACAAGGTAATACAACAAGTGAGATTACAGCATTTCCTAGATGCTTGCAGTATATGAACTGCAACAAATCATAGTGAAGTGAAGCTCAGCGCAAGTTCAACCAGGAAGACCGTCTCTACTCTTCATTTACTATTCCGATGTAACTACTCTCTCTCCTCTCAATAAGTGATCGGGGGCGTCACTCCCCAGCTTAACCAATCACTTCGCTCTATTCCCAAGAGCCTATCATAGCGCTCTGCCAAACCTTTTAAGTCTGCTCTCCCCTCTGACAGCTGTCATTTCAGGTGACTCGACGCAACCCTCCTCAACCCCTTTTCACCCGTCCCTCTGAATCCAGGGTCAAGCTAAGCCCCTCCTCTTCAGACCGACCCAACCATCCATTCACCACCACCAGTGTCTAGACCCCGGGGGGCTTCATCGGATCGGTTCTCCCCTCCCGAGTGATACTTCCTGCACAACGGGGCCTAATCGCCAAAATAACCAGTACATTCATTTGTGTATCTCTGCAATAAATATGTGTTCTTACATCAAAACCGTCTCTCCTGATTGAAGTAAGTAAAGTCAGTAAAGTCATTGATCTGGGCTTGCGATTGAAAGGTACAAATTAAACATCTGAATTGTACTGGTCAATACGTCCAGCTACGGTTCAGGCTAAGCTAGCTGGCTGTTTTCAAAGTAAAAAAACGAAACAAATGCATTTAAAAACATGTAAATTGTATCAGACTTTTTTTCAAGCAAAAGTGCCAAATATGTACCGATTTTCAAATGTAAAGATTTAACAATTTCTCTTCGTCACAAACAATGATAGAACATCTTTTGAGTTTTGAACTGACGGTTGGATTAAAACGATAAAAGAGTTCACCTTGAGCTCTGTGAAATTATACTGGGCCTTTTCACCATTATAACATTTTATAAAGGATTGAAATACAAATGTTTTGATGATGAATCAGAACAACACCTCAATAAGGGGGGAGACATGTTAGTCCATGAACACCATGTTTTAAATGATAAAACAGTACATCTAGCTTATCATGTGTATTGCACATAATCATACATCGTGAGCAAATACTCAGTCACGCTCGACAAGGCAATCAGAGGCCTGAATGGAAATCAGATGAGGCCCGAGTCACTGCACAGTAAACCTGCCCAGTCTGTCCTTGCTGATGAGAGGACCTTGGAGTGAGGATGCGATGGTGTGTGTGTGTGGTGTGTGTGTGTGTGTGTGGTGTGTGTGTGTGTGTGTGTGTGTGTGTGTGTGTGTGTGTGTGTGTGTGTGTGTGTGCTGTGTGTGTGTGTGTGTGTGTGTGTGTGTGTGTGTGTGTGTGTGTGTATGTGTGTGTGTGTGTGTGTGTGTGTGTGTGTGTGTGTGTGTGTGTGTGTGTGTGTGTGTGTGTGTGTGTGTGTGTGTGGCAGAAAATGAGTAAAAGCCATGCTGAACCTCAGGGTCATTCTCATAAGGACAAGAGGGTCCAGGGATTACACCAGAGACTAGATATTCCGCAGCGCGAAGGGTTCGGAGAAAGGAGCCGAGTCAACACATTTTCCGCTTAGTTTAAGGTGCAAGCATGTGCACGACGTCAGCTAAACGGTGAGAGCACAGGACAGGAGGATACACATGTAGTGTGTACCGGGTGGGTCAACCCATTTGTGCAGCACCAGGAACGAGGCTGAAGGAAACACTGCTGTCAGAGCCGAGAATAGAAAACTAAATAGCTTTGACTACAAAAAGCTTTGAATTAAGAATATCGACTAAATAAATAATCCATCGGTGAATGAAACAAAGACACACCGCTTTAATTAGAGCATCTTACGAGCCATTAGGCAAGCACAGTCCAGATGGAGTATGATGACTCAGATTGGGCACAACACACACCGTGACGTCACCGCAAAATCAATACAAGGAACTCTACTACTGCTCAAATAAATATACACTGACATTTAAAAAAACATCGACAGTGAATAATAATCAGAAATGTAATTATAATAATGTGGTGATATTCCACAAAACTGCAATTTGTCTTTAAGATTAAGGAAAAACATTTTTCTATGTTTTACAATTCAACACATTCCAGTCTGTACAGCTTCAGTTAGTTTTATTTGCAATTTGTTTAAAATTAATATTTTAATAAATGCAAATGATATACCTTAAATCTACTCATAATTGCTATTCATTTTAACAATAGTTTAACTGTATAGAGTTTCATTTCACAAACTGTAACCGTAGCATTGAAACGATTAAACATCCCTTAGCTTTTCTTATCAAATCAACAGATGAAAGCAGGTCACATTTAAATCCATAACAATGCAAGCAGAAAAGTTTGTCAAACCTCTCCACCTTTTCCTCCAGCAGAGAGCTTTGCCTCTAAAGATGTCTGAAACCGTCTCCTGGAAAGCTCCAGGGGAACACACACACACACACCTCCATGAGGACAGGAGCCCGTCCCTGATTAAGATTTAATTACTCAGCGGAGGCGTTAAATAATGCATCTTTAGTCAAAGTGCGTGAAGGGGTTGTATTTTTAGACATGTAAACTTGGGGAGATGCTTTAAAGCAGACATATGTGCACGAGAGAGCGTGTCAGTCGGAGAGCCTGCAGTTACACAATCTCATTTTTAAATCTTTTGCTACTCCTCAGATAGACTACTGAAACACGATCAGATGCGAGCAGCTACATGTGGTGCTGTGGCCTGGAGTCAAACAAGAAAATCAAGATGTGCATGACAGTCGACCACACCTGACAGTTATTCTAATTGACCTCAAATGTATTTTACAGACTGAACTTTTGTTAAATAGAGCCGCTAATATTGTCTTGGAAATGCTTATAAACATGACAAATAGCTCAATTGTTCACATTTCTTACAACATTGTGAAAAATCAAGCAGTTCTTCATGTTTGTGAAGCTGTTCTCAGTAAAACCAAAGCTCAAGGGGAGGAAAACCCTTCTGACTTTGAAGAGGTCTGCCGGTGTTTCAGGGTGGAATATTTGAATATGTATCAAATGGATTGCCATGTAATTTGGTACAGACATTAATATCCTCCCGAGTAATATTCTGTAACTACTTTGGTGATCAGCTAACTTGAAATGTTGCACAAAATTGTGTCTAATAGTTTGTGAAAAAATACGTGCGTAGCTAAGTCCACTCACCAGCCTCACCTCTACTTTGCATTAAGGGGAACTTATTAAATATTAGCATGCTAACTAACACACAATATACCTTTATACCATCTGCATGTTAGCGTTGACACTTTAAGCATTTACCAAACACCACCTGTGTTTAGCTCAAAGCATAGCAAGGCATAGACGTTTGATGTATAACTCAACCCAACCCAACACAACCCATAGACTGTAGAAAATAACCAAAGCTTATCAGATTTAGAATCAGATTTATGTTGATTAACTGACTCCTATAGGCCTCACTATTTCAGCTGCAATCAAGTGATTGTTTGAGCCACAAACAATCGATTCACAAAATTAGGGGACATTTTCAAATCACTTGTTTTGTCAGGCTAACAAGACTAAGAGATGTTCAATCTAAAATTGCAAACTTCCAACTAGTGCAGCTGGATATATATTTTGTAGATCGTTATAAAAAGGTTACACTTAATAACATTGTAATGAAAGAACCAGACAAGGAACCTTATTCTATTTTAAACTAGGCGACTGCAGAGGATCCCCTCCACAGCCACGCTGCAGCCTCCAGTGTAAGCCAGACATGCTAATAATGAAATGGCCTAACGGACTACTAACACGATAAAGCATGCCTGACTGGACATCCCGGCATGGCAGCTAAATTAAATAAGACAAGGGCATCAACAGCGTGGAGGCTTGGACAGATTACAAGAATGCTACCACAGTTCATTAGGTCCTCGCTGTCAGAACAACACTCGGTTTCCTGCTGTTGTTTCCTGTGAGGGAGCCGCATCACTTCCTCACATTATGTGGAATTCCCTTACAATCATTGTATCGGTTATGAAATATAATGTATATTATAACTGTCTAATTATTTCTGGGGTTTTTTTTCAAGCAAAAAGCCCAAATGTTTCAGTTTCACAGACATAAGGATTTGCCATGTGACGACAAAATAAAAGTCCTAAGACTTTGTAATATTGGTTGGATGATTAAAGACATCACTGAAGGCGCTGAGAAATGTTTATTTTACACCAAAAGATAAAAGGAAGCAATCAATATTGAAAATAAAAAATGTTTGACCCCATTTTAGATTTTTGATCAAATAAAACAAGCAAAACTTTCAGCCATTTTAAAAGACAAAATGATTCAATGCAAAAAAAAAAATTGAGATTATTAGTTTCAGTAACACATTTGAAACCGATAACTTACTTATGTTTTGGATTAAGTGAAACAAAACTCTTACGTTATAGCTGTCCTTGAGAATGTGATAGTGGTTGTAAATAGTTCTACAGGAAAACAGACCTGTGAACAAAGTTTCTTCTTCTACTGCTCCTGGTGCTACACACATCCCAGGTCTGCAGGCTCACATCCTGATAAGAGCGTTTATAGATCCATACCCGGCACAGACGAGCTCCAGACGCCTCCGAGTGGACACAGGAAACCTCCAATGATCACTTCCTCTCTTTAAGAATGGACTGACTTAACTTTCTAACAGCATGATCGCATGACCTGACTGACACATTATTATGTAATGATTAACGCCCTGACTGGGAGTTGTCTACCTCCTCAAGTACTTAAAGTTGCAATTCCCAAGTACGGCTACATATTTCAGAAATAAACATAAAAGAAAAACAAGCCACAGGTTTGTATCCTTAAAAGATGAGTCTTCTCAATAATTTGAAAAAAACATATATCTGAAAAGAGAGGTTAATAATGGCAAATCCTTTGAGATCTGAAGATGGGAAAAGTAAAGAGAGTAGCTTGTCCTCCTGTTACAAAGAGCTACTCTGCTTCACATAAAGTGTCAAAAGCTATTATAATTTTATTTTCTCCCTTATGTTTTGATCTACATTGAACCGCCACACGACAGAAGAAAAGGCAAGAGGAGACAGGCTGCTGTGCCGGGCTGCCATCAGGGAGAGACTTGTAATAGCTTCTGAAAGCGTACAGTAACCTACATCTGGGAAGTCTCTGCTGCACACAAGAGAGCTGGTCTTTGCATGCCTGTTGGATCAGTCTGCTTGAGGATGTAGTGAGGTAAAAAATCAAATGCCCTGAACAGTCACTCAGTCAAGCTGGAGAGATACCAAGAACAATGGTGAGTGTTATGTCGTCAAGCCTTTCCAGAAGCTTTGATATGATCTGTTCTGGATTTCTCTTCAGTGACAAATTCGTTTTACACTCACTGGTGATGACTATTCAAGCTGGCACTGGGATGGGCCCACTGCTTTTTTTTATGAATCCACCTCTTAAATAAAAGGCCCTGAGATGATATGATGAGGTAAATGTAAAAGACATGGCACTAACAAACTCTCCAGAGCAACACAAATGACCATTAGCTTGGATTATGCAATCATAAAGTAGCACTGTGTGCCTGCTGCCTACAGGCCAAACACAGCCTCAGATAGTAAATATTATTCACAGGTACACTGGGTTAAGCCATGGGAAGCTTCTCTTTGTTATTAAAGGTGGTATATCATGAAAAAACAGCTACAAACACGACAGTTGAGGTGTATTTATTTGCACCAGAACTTAGGTTATTAGTTGTATTAGCTGCTAGCTGAATGTAACGTCCACACCTCAAAAGGCCACGAGTTAAGTTTACAAAACAGTTATAACAAAGCCGGGTATAACAATATGATGAAATATTTAGAGGATAAATAACCCCACTGCACAGCAGCAGGGTGTATCAGGAGGAAAAGGTGGCTAGTGTTAGCTCCAAGGGTTTAGCGGGTAGTCGTGCTCCGAGTGACGGCAGAGAGACGTGCTCCTCTGACGGACACTCAACCGTCTGCTGCTCGGTGGGCTTGGTGCTAACGGTTTTTTAACGGCTATTTTGTGGCTAACGGTTTTTAACGGTTATTTAAAAAGCATTCCTCCTCATGTTAACTCAGCCCATTTCTCACAGTCATAAAAAGTACATTTAGCTTTTTGCTGCATTGCTAGTGTTTTTATTAGTGAATATTTAGCCACAGCTCGTAAAGCAGCGTGTTGTGTAATTGAACGTAAATAGTGCATCACCTCTCTCGGTGTCACTCACCGTTTGGCTAGCCAAACAGACCATGCAACCCCACATCCACACTGACTTATTCGGCTGAGTTAATATAACACTTGCAGTTGCAATGGCGGGTTGTAACGTCAGAGCAACAACAGACAGTGTAAGAAATGTCATGAAAACATTTACTCACCGGAGGAATCCTCATCTCTACGTACAGTCCTCCCGCGGAGCCCCTCCGTCAGTATCCGTCATACCTAATCGCCTTTGAGGGCTATTTTTGAGTCTCCTCAGGTAGACCCTCCGCTGCTGCTTAACTCACACAGCACAAGTCGGAAAGTACAGCCTGTAGTCTGCCGTAGTTGTGCGCCAGCACTCAAGGATCCCTCCCCCAAGGGTTAATATTGGGGGAAATAAGAAGCACCATCAAGACAGCCAGAATGGAGACCCACCACTTCCGGTTGTGTATTTCAAAATTAAATACCACCTGCTACACCTCAGTGTTATCTTAATACATATTTTACACGAAGAACACGATAAATGTGTTCATTCATAAAATACAATTCTAAAAGAAAGTGTCATTTTAAATTACATTTAAACACACATATTTAAATGTAAATCTTCAAGCACTATTACATTTGAAAATCTGTTGTAAAATATTGAACTAAACTACTAATTTATGCAAACTATTTTATAGTAGGCCTATATAATGTGATCCTCTTGTGTATGTTTTTCATTTGTAGGTTAACTTTGTTATTTACCTTTTCTCTTACCGAAATAACCTGTATATTTTTCTTCTTAGTCTTTATTGAAATACAAGATTTATGTTAGAATTAATCAATACACACTTACATTTTGCATTAACCAGTGGTGTAAGTGTTCAGATCCTATAATAAAATAAAAGTACTAATACAACAGTGCAAAAATATGTTTAAATGCTGTTTGCCTAGTTCTGTTATTACCTTGGGGGTACCTTACCTTACCTCAGTCAATATTGTGGTAGAACCCTATGGGTAGAACCGGCCCGAGTTAATTTGATTTCTCCCATGTATGTTCACAGATAAGTTTTATTTTTTAAAGTTTAAGAATTCAAAGTTTTTATTGTCATATTCATGATAGCTACAGCGTAGTTGCAGGCTCCTCCAATAGTGCAACATACAGTAGACTAGATACTTAAAACATAACAATAGACATAAATAGTGCAAGTGACTCAATTGTGCAAGTAAAATGCAGGTAACGAGTCAACTAAAGCTTTTAATTTGAAAGGCTACAACAGAGTTTCCGGTTCTGACTCAGTTATCTGTGTATCTTGACGCTTCTGTAAAGCTGTTCAGCTCCATCCAGCTCCTGCTCTGAGGTCCAGCCGCAGCAGCAGCAGCAGGACGTTTTGTCTCAGCCCGGGCTGAAGGTGGGGTGGTGAGCCCGGTGAGCCCCGGGGCTGAAGGTGAGCCCCGGGGCGGGTTCGGTGTCCCGCAGCCCGGCCCCGCCTCACGGTGTAGGACCGTGCAGGACACACAGGAGCCAAAATGGCCCGTTCCTCCCCGGTAACCTTGTGAGGCTCTCCAGCTGTGCAGAGACTGACAGCAGAGCGTCATTGATCTGCACGATGCAGCAGAGCAGGATCAATGAAACGGGATGCTACAGTCTCCTTATGTGCACACTGCACACTCAACCAATGATTATAGTGGGGGAAATTCAAACCAATAGTTCTTCATATTTACTTCATAACTACTTTACAAAAAAGTGCAAAACCCTTTTCCTTTACCTGAATAAACACAAGGAAATAACTTGTAATCAGTAATGCGATGTGACAAGTGCATTTACTGCAGTTAAGTACATTTTGAGGTACCTTTACTAAACTCATTTCGATTTCTGCTACTTTATACTTACATATAAGAGGAAACGATCCAACATAGAACTACTTAATTTCAGTTTCATAATACAAAATGTATCAAATAAATTATTTCTATTATAGGTTATGATAAAGCTTATTTATGCCTTGCTGTAACAATAAAGTGATGAACTCTTGAATGCATCAACAATAATAATCCTAACGTAATACACCTATACATTATTCTGAAATGGGATACTGCTGAGTGAGTGCTTTTAATGTAGGTACTTTGAGTTTCACGACTGTAACACTTTTTTAATCTTTCACTTAAGACGACATTGTGACTGCATCGCGTTGACCAGTCATTGAGAATTGTGCTTCGATGCATTTGTAAAGCTACTTTTATCTATATCCTTTTTCCACCACTGTTGATTATTATATCATAGCAGGCTATACAGTAGCAACACAGCCAAAGAACAACTTAATGCAACTTAAATAGTTAGTTGTTTTTTTAACTCAAAGTTTAGTTTCAAAGTATTTTATTTCAACTTCCAGAATATTGTGTTACGTAACGGATCAGATATCGATGAATTCAAGGACGTGTAAAGGAAGAGGACCACTGTGGGGCTTATAATAACCGTTTATTCTATTTATAAAACTAGCATCAGTTACACTCTTAACATATAAAGGACTCTACTACTTCTAAAGTATTCATCAGAGCTAATATGTAGGGGGTTAATACTACAGACTGTTTCCCCATGAGGCGAATATGATTCTTCTAATGGCTAAAAACCAATCGGACAAGTCAAGTAATAACGACGTGCGTCAATAGCCCAAAATGTTTTTATTAAATTCATAATCAACGCTATAATGTAAAGTGAATGAAGAGTTCACTTTGATTTGCAATTTCCTAAACAATCTCTTAATACTAGCCATGTAGAAAGCTTATTTCTAAAGAAGTTGGAGTCCTTTTGGTGCCGAGAGTCGTGCCGGTCCTCGTTTCTCGCCGTGTCCACAACGTCACAGCCTACTGAAATGAAAACCTACTGTATCCGCATGTTTATTGCTGTGGCAGGCTAAACCCCAGCGCTTCACGTCTCCGGAGGTGCTGATGCATCGCACTTTTAACAACCGTTTTCAGCACAAGAGGAAATGCCCTTTGTGAGTCCAAACGAGGTAAAACATAAAACGGTTGACGGAGGAAAAAAAAGGGTTCTTCAGTTTGCTTCGTTCTTTGATGGCTTCATCAAAGTTCTCCACGAGATCTGGAAGATAGGGAACAAGATAAGAACATCAAGATATATTAGTCCAACAATTTGTGAAAGCATAGCAGGTGATTCAAGCCTTTATTATTAAGGGCTTGCAACCGATAAAAAAACTATTTGAAAATGAGAATGCAAACACAACTAAAGTTCTTATTTTATTGGCTGATAAATGATTAACAGCTCTAAATACATAGTGCATCAGTTTGGAAACAACTAGTATAAATCCACAAAGATTAAGTTAAAAAGGAATGATCTTTAACATAATCTTAAGCATGAGGAACAGCAGGTATATCTAAGCGTTTACCTGGTACATCGTCGTCCTCTCTTCTGCAATCACCTCCTTAACTGCTTTCATGTCCATTGCTGCCCCAAATACATAAAAGAAAACCAACAGTTAATCCAAAGCTGAGCTCCATGTTGAAGTGGTGCTTAACATGGATGGAAATGCCCGCGACAGATGAATGACGACATCTACAATGCCATGACAACTGGAGAAAAAACACATCACATAATTAGTTGTGTGCCATGTGGAAAAGCCACTCCTTATTTCCTGTTTGCTTCACTGGTTTTTGTTTCAAGTACATGCAAAGTCTTGTGAAACAGAATCCACCTACACTCAATCATGTATCCTAGGGGGATGGTTATTTTGTCTTTTATCAATTATCAGTGTTTTAAATGCTCATATGTTTAGTATATTGAAGTGTTGGCCCTTCCCTCTCAATCGTTGTTGTACTCTTTTGTTATCGTCACTTCTATAACCAGTTCCTCAGTCATATTAAATCATTTCTTGTTTTCCAGTGATTCTAAACAAACAAAGCTGTTTAACAAATCTGCATGAATACACTGATGTGTTGAAGGCAGCACATTCATACTGCATTTCTTTTTTACTGTGTACAGTCTTTGGGTTTAGAAAGTGGTAACTATTCTCACTACAACATACCTTCGTTTTAATCCAAATCTGATGACTTGGCTGACATGAATCACTGATATTACAGTCCCATAGTGACCCCTGACATTGTACAAGTGTGTGTGTGTGTGTGTGTGTGTGTGTGTGTTTACATTGCCGTGGGAACTGCTCGGCCAGTTTGCGCAGGCTGCTCAGGCTGTCTGCGCCCAGCTGGCTCAGGATGCCCGGCAGCATCTCCGTCAGCTGCTTGGTCTCAGCGTGGCCAGTGATGGCGAAGGTGTTGGCGGACAGAGACGCCTGCACTTTGGGGTTGTTGAAGTGGATCACCGTCCCATCGTCTTTAATCATATTCACCTGAGGAAACAGAAAACAGTCAGATTTAGAGCAAATGAGGCATAACACAGGATTCTGCAGCATCAAGATATAAGCAGTACTTTGTGTATATTCTTAGGTTGTGGTCAAATTGTCAAAAAATATAGTCCTACGTCTATTTCTAACCAGTATTCCTTAACCTTAGAGAAAAACATCATGGGTTTAATTAAGGAAAGATGTGAAGGACAATTCATCAGGACTTTCTAAGAGCATCCAACTGGACTAACATTTGGAATAATATAACTATTTACAGCATACAACAACCTCAAGCAATAGACCGTTGCTTCAGATTTGAACACAACTTCCCTAAATTAACCTTGAACTGGTTTAATAATTCACAGTAATATACGAAAGGCAAACTGAGCCACAAGATAAATGAAGGAGACTTGTGAGCATCAGGGTAGTTGTATCGTTTCTTTATGCATTGATTTGTCAGAGAGACTTTGCGGGAGCGAGTTGGATTAAAGCTCTCTAAAAATAAACTAGAAGACAAGATCGGAGAGGGCTCTCTCTTTCTTTTATCTTTCCTTATCGGGACTCTGACAACAACAACAAAAATGTAAAAAGTTAAAATGGAGCAATCGTCTGTTGGCTTCCTCTGATGGCTCACCTCTTCTATCCCAGCAATGTTGTTTACTGCCAGTTTCTTCAGGGATCCCTGGAGTTTTTTTGTCATCAGCTGTTGCTGTTTTGTGAACGACCTTCTTCTTCTGCGGGCGGTTACCCCTGAGGACAGAACAGGTGATGGAGGGCAACAAAGGATTAGGACAGCTGACTCTACAATATGTCAAATACAATTTAACAGCACCAGGTCACGCAAGACTTTTTGATGTACATGTTCATTAATCGTAAAACACACTAATAACTCATTTCTGTGGTAAAAACAGTTCAAATACAAGACTATTACTAGATTTTAAGGAGCCAATGGAACCCGTGCTGTAGCAGAGTCCTGCAGTCACCCGACCCAGGACTCTGTGCAGTAGGCTGTGGAGGCGTTTTTTGCTCGAGTGTTTTAATTGTAATAATCAGGAGTAACGCTCCTAATATGATTACATTATTCACAATGAAAATAAAAGCTTTCTATAATGCTTGTTTTTTTTAAAAGTGTCAATGTGGTGCGATTTGGAAATGGGCTGAAGGCCTGTCAAAGCTAAAATAACAAATAAACGCCACCTAGTGTGTAGCTGAAGACCTCACAATGCAGTGGAACAAAGCTACAGAGGCCCAGATGAAGGGGCAATGCTCTCCATAAAGAGAATGCCTGAGGTCAGGAGGAAAAGGACCTGGCAGGTGCTGAATGCCACAACACTCCTTAAAATCAACTAACGTGAGAACCCAACTGATGTTCCCTATACTGAGCTTTTTTAAATTAAAAAAAAGAAAATCAAATATTTAGAAGTATGTCCAAAATAAATGCAGACTGTACCTTTCCTCCTATCCGGACTTGTGCCTGGAGTTTGGCGAGCCTTCTTGATTCATAGTGTTCTGTTAGTGAACAAAAAAACAAATGTATAATTATTTTATTCTCAGGCATTTTAACATAGAAGGAAAAACAGTACATCATGAGTTATGTAGTTTGTAACATACATTTACTCAAGTAGAGTAATCAAAGATATGTTAGTATTTCCATGTCATGTTCAAACTATAACATCTACAGTAGTACAGCAGTGTTGCATTTACAAATCATTGCAGCAGTAGTATTGATCTAAAAAACATCCTTTAAAATAGAAAATAACTGAACACTTTACTGCACGATGAGTACCATTACTTTTGATTGATTGTAAATTCAGGAATTTTTACAGGAGTATTTTCCATCTTTATTATTGCTATTTTAAGCTCAAACTAAAAATATCTACCCTCTATATCTACCTATAGCACTTTGAATTGCCTTGTTGTTGACAAGTGCTATATAAATAAACTTGCCTTGCCTTAGTTAAGTGATTCCAATTTACAAATCATTGCAGCAGTTATATAATCCATATCAAATAATCGAAAAGCACTGAAACACTTTACTGCCACAATTAGTAAAATTACTTTTTTAATTGGTTGTAAATTCAAGACTCTTAGTTAGGACTTTACAATATTTATACTTTAACTGAATTAAAATTGCCCGAATACTTAACCGCACCCTGCTTTACGGAAGCACGTGTGATTACATGTGTAGCCTACAGCATGAGTTGGGCAATTAAAGCTACATAATCCTCATTTCCACACGTTAGCACTGAGCTAACAGATCTGCTAACGATCAGCTGACAGACATACTGCCATTAGGGATACACTAAATGTTTTAAACCACAATATAATACAAATTGGAAATGAGAAAGAAAAGTATCCGAGGCTTATTTCTAAACATGACATTTGAGTCTAACGTAGCTGCTAGTCATGTTGCTAACTAGCTAAACGGGCTAATTTAGCTAATATTAGCATAGTCGCTGAACAAGGTACACGAACTGGTCCTTTTTCTTCCTGACAAGGGGAAAACCGCTAACATCAACTTCAAAATCAAACGATAAAACAAATCGGCTCAGAAGTTTACCACAAAATGAATAGATTGTATTACCTTTTAAAAGGAATAAGCTGACAGTCCGTTGAACTGTTTCACGCTACTATGAAGCTGAAGGGTCAAGACCAGCAGCAATATAAGACACTTCCTAATAATACTTTCAAAGTAAAATGACCATGAACCCAACAACAGCCATTTTTTTTATTTCTATAAGGAACATATTAATAATAAAGTTAAGATTATATACGTTCTTGATCTAATCCAATGGGATTCAATATGCAACAATGCCTACAAATATGAATGTATTAATTATAAAGCGGCTTTTAAACTTTTGTTTTGGTACTGATTTTCCCGGTTTCTTTGATATATTTCGCTGTCTAACTTTACCAGTTGTAAACCGCGAGCCAGGAGCACGCGGTTTTGTGGATGTGACCGTCCAGTTTTAACGTCACTGCTAGAGGATGGGTCATTCACGCCTCAAATATTTTATTTTGAAATAAACCACATTTAGTTATAACCCATTTTTCTATTCTGCAAGCAACATCAAATGAACTTTTCATGTCTGAAATGAAGTAGGAAGAAGAAAAAACTGCTGTCTAATCTATAGTCTATTGATAGTCAGACCTGATATAAATAAATAAAAACCAATTTACAAGGATTTCATTTTTTGCAACTGAAGATACATGTTTTGTTTAGTTTTTAAATAACTTTAATGGAACGACAAACTAAAGAACATTATATAATTAACATTATTCTATTAGTTATTATTATTATTATTATTATTATTATTGTCTCATCATTTTTCCTATATTTAACGGACTTTTTAAGGGACAAATAAAAAAGCTTGAAACTTAAGTCCAGAGACTTTTATTGTGAAATCCTGTGGTTGAACATCCGGGTCACTGGTTTCACTACAATCAGTGCCATTAGCTGTTGCCATTAGCTCGTCAAAATGCAAACGTCCTTTAGTGGAAAATCGCTTTAGTTCATCTCTGCAGGTTTTGTTTTCTTTGACGTGCTTTCAAGATGTTGTGCAAGCAGCCAGCGGGAAAGGTGAGTTGGTATTTTTGGAGTTAACACACAAAGTGAAGCGAGTTGTGAGCAGATTTCTGGTCATTGATAGAGTTACCAGGGCTGTGTGTCTTTGTATGAACATCCTGGATCTCTAACTCTGCCGTCCTGGGACAGGTGGTTTATAAAGGTGCGCTTTTTCAGCCACAAATTAACTCTTTAATTCATGTTTTTCCAGTAAACCCAACATGTTTTTTACTGCAAAAATCCCAGTATAGAAAAATTATTCCCTTTTTAATGTAAACAGTGATTCCATTCTGATGAAAAAAACGTTATTTGTCCCATAGGAAACCGATGTTTTCTTAATAAAATAAATATATCCATAGTGTAATACAAGATGTAATTGGCAAAAAACTGTTAGAAAATACTTTTTTATTTTTAGGAGATATACTATTTTATTTTCAGTATTTCAAAACAGTCAATCATTGTACACATAAATAATACCTCATGAATACAACTAATGCTGGTTGATGTAAAGACAATCATACTGTATATCTTGTCTTTCAATATTGAAGGTGGACAATTGGTTCTTTTGCAAATAGTTACACCTTGATCTCATAATCCATCATAATGTAGATATAATGACTGAGCGGATAAAGGTAAATAGTAGAACTGCTAAAACAGACAAAATCACTTTGCTGTAATGCAATAAAACCAGGAAAGACAACCGATACTATGTTTAAATATCTAAATATAGCACCATATATAGTCTCCTATATATGACCCCACACATGCCTTGACCAAACATGTAAAGTTCATACCTATGAAGGAAATCATATGTTTCTCACGTATATGAGTAATTTATACAGTAGTATTATTTTCATAATCACATATGCCTTGCAAGCTGCATGCAGATGAGGAGGAATCTTAATTCAGTATATTGCCATAATTTTGTCCCAATGCTAATATATAAACTACGAGCTATTTGACTGAACGTAGCATATTCATTACCTCCATTGGTTTGCTTCCCGACAACTCCTTCTGTTGACTATTGTATTTAGGGCAGACCCGCCCTGCTGTAGAACTATAATATTCAGTGACACAATGGATGTGTGTTCATTAATCCCACTTCCCCCCCGGCAGGGTTGGAGATAACATCCACTGGAGGACGCTGGATGATGGGAAGAGAGAAGCTGAGGCCAGGTGAGTTCACACTGAGAGGGGAGATATTACACACACACACACACTGAGAGGGGAGATATTACACACACACACTGAGAGGAGAGATATTACACACACACACTGAGAGGGGAGATATTACACACACACACTGAGAGGGGAGATATTACACACACACACTGAGAGGGGAGATATTACACACACACACACACTTCGAGGGGAGATATTACACACACACACTGAGAGGGGAGATATTACACACACACAGAGAGGGGAGATATTACACACACGCACTGAGGGGAGATATTACACACACACACTGAGAGGGGAGATATTACACACACACACTGAGAGGGGAGATATTACACACACACACACTGAGAGGGGAGATATTACACACGCACTGAGAGGGGAGATATTACACACACGCACTGAGAGGGGAAATATTACACACACACACTGAGGGGGGAGATATTACACACACACACTGAGAGGGGAGATATTACACACACACACACACACTGAGAGGGGAGATATTACACACACACACTGAGAGGGGAGATATTACACACACACACTGAGAGGGGAGATATTACACACACACTGAGAGGGGAGATATTACACACACACACACTTCGAGGGGAGATATTACACACACGCACTGAGAGGGGAGATATTACACACACACTGAGAGGGGAAATATTACACACACACTGAGAGGGGAAATATTACACACACACACTGAGAGGGGAGATATTACACACACACACTGAGAGGGGAGATATTACACACACACACTGAGAGGGGAGATATTACACACACACACTGAGAGGGGAGATATTACACACACACACTGAGGAGGGGAAATATTACACACAACCACTGAGAGGGGAGATATTACACACACACACACTGAGAGCGGAGATATTACACACACACACTGAGAGGGGAGATATTACACACACGCACTGAGGGGAAATATTACACACACACTGAGAGGGGAAATATTACACACACACACACACACACACACTGAGAGGGGAGATATTACACACACACTGAGAGGGGAGATATTACACACACACATTCCTAAAACCTGCTGAGCCGCCTTCTGTATAATCATTAGCCCTGAGGCCTTTAAACGACTTTTAAAGAAATCCCAACGTCTACATTTCCACAAATTACTGGAGCAGATTTTCAGGATTTTTTTACTCAATGTTTTATTCAAAGATTAAAAGTGTATATATCATAACAACTGGAAAATAAAGTTGTTATAGTGTATATATCATTATTTAAGGCAGTTGCAGGCTCAACTGAAGTCAGTTACTATATTTTACTCTTGGTATGAAGGTAAGATTGAATAAACTTTATTGATCCGGAATTATTTTGTTACAGCAGCATGTGAACATGGCATTGCACAAGTTAAAAATATAATTAAATAAACAGTAAATATTTGAATATCAAGAGTAGAACGATATATATTCATAGAGTATATCCATTATAAGATATACAGAATTAGTAGTAATACACTATAATAGACCAAACTACTGGTAAAATAATGTATAAACAAGTAAAGAATATTCATTATACAATTGTGGAAGGTACTTGAAGTTTTTTTTATTGAAATGTAAATTAGGTAAAAAATGTAAATGTTTTCATGTTTGCATCGACAGCGGACTGCCAATCATGCTCATCATCCACAAAACCTGGTGTGGAGCCTGCAAAGGTAAAACATTATAATGATGTGTTTCTCCCTTTCATTATAGAAACCTCAGGCATAGATACAGCAGAAAAAAGGGGGGGAAAGTTTTCAAAATGTTATATTATGTGAGATATTTATTCCACTGTTTAGACAGAGAACAAACGGTATCACACTGCATGCAGATGATTAAACATTAGTTATCCTGTCAGCTCAGGCTAATGATCGTCTGTAATGTGGGCAAACAGGACATTTTTATTAAGGTTGGCTTTTGTTTGTTTAATAGCCATATAAGATAATGATTAACAGTTGTTTTGTTCCTTCTACATCAGCACTGAAGCCCAAATTTGCAGAGTCCAAGGAAATCTCTGAACTTGCACACAACTTTGTTATGATCAACCTGGAGGTACGTAAATAAACAGTTTATTTAACCAGGTGTAAATTCACTTGTGTGTTTTATGATCGCTACTAGCCAACACTAACATACTGTATTTATTATGAGGTCTTGTAAATGATCCGTTGTCCTCGTGTTTGCAGGATGAGGAGGAGCCAAAGGATGAAACCTACAGCCCAGATGGAGGATACATTCCTCGGATTCTTTCCTCGGTACGGGGGCGGTTGAGTCAGAATCGCCATTAGAGAGACGATAGTTTAGTCTATAGTAACACACAGTGTCTGATAACGTTTCAGTAGAATGTTCTTATCCTAGTGTGTAGAGAGGTTATATTTTTCAGTGAGAAAGCAAGCTTCTAATCAGGGATTTGTAAATTAACTGAAATGCATATTGGACAAACACAGAGGAATACAACGACACAGGAACATCTCAAATAGTTGAAGGGATGTTTCATCAACCTTTGATTGAACCTAGTAAAGTAGTTTAATATGTCACCTTTATGTGGCATTCTCATTTGGAGAGTTGTTAGGAAAGCAATTATCTGAAATTGAACTGAGGCAAATAATTATACATCAATCAAGAAAATAACCGTCAGAATTAATTGAAGAGAACAAATGGGTTGGTTGCAGCCTTATATTGTTTGGATTTCAACTTTTGCAAACCTTTCATATTAATGTTCTCTTTCCTCACAGATCCCAGCGGCAAAGTCCATCCTGAAATCACCAACAAGAACGGAAATCCAAACTACAAGTACGTTCTACAGCAACGCCGAACCATGGGAAAACATCCAGCTATTAATTTGACCAACACCAACATTGTTAAAAACGCCTATATATCAGGACAATATCGCAATCAAATCACAAATGTGTTCATATAATCAAACCTAGTGTTATGTTGTCCGACTCATGCAGCCCTAACGGGTGTATTTCCCCGCTGCAGTGGGTGTCCGGTATGAAGGAGGCGCAGGAGAAGCTGACGGGCGACGCCTCCAAGCAGGGTCACACCGGAGACGAGGCGGGGGTGTGGAGGGGCAGAGGGGCGTCAGGCTGAAGGGCTACACCCCACCCCACCCCCGAGCCTCAGCAACACCCCCCACACAGAACTGAACCAAGACAACCATTAAAATCGGTGCTTGAGTATTTCTTTTTGTCCTGTACGGTATTTTTTCCAACACTTCCTGTTGTCGTCTACTGTTAATGCCATGTACTGTATCTGTAGACTAACACCAACACAACGCTAGCCAAGTTAGCTGCCATTACCTCTCACTTGCATACACTGTTTTGGAATGGAAACCTCTGGAAAATGCCAAGTTTGAAGTACATTTCCATGTTTGTCACAATATGTGAGTCTTTTTGAAGTTTCCCCTAACACCTTGTATTGCAACTTTTGTAATATTTATGCTTTTACCCAACAAATGATAGTGTTTCATTTGACATATTAACATCTACAGTAATGTGCTTCCAAATATCCTCTACAGTACGTTTATTATAATGTGTTGTTTACCATGCACAACAACAGGCTCCGTACTTCTGATTTGTTATCCTCGGTCTTTAAGCAATATTACGTATTCATTTAAACCTGCCAATTAATGTATACTTTAGCTATATCTATAAACTTGTTTTCCTGTTGGGGGTTTGTTTGGCTGCTCGTGAAGTGACAACCACTCGGTACCTGTTTTGTTGGTTAAAACTCTTTGAATGAGGGATGAACACATTGGTAATGTGTCTTGATGTATTTTATACATGTACACAGCCTGGTGTGCAAATAAAGTTTGTTGAACTCAGTGGTGTGTGAGCGTGATGCATTCATGACACAGCAGTAATAACAGTATATCAAGTTTTATTGTCTATCCAACAACAGTGATCCCTTATGGTTTGTCAAACAATATGAAAACTGCTGCATACAGTTAACAGTAGATGACACTAATCAAGTCACTATTTAAATTCAGTTTGATAGTGCAGGTCCCATTAATGCGAGTGCATTTATTTAAGACATTGGATTGCAGTTGATCCCATTCCAGACACAGCCCTAAAAATGGCTTATTTAAGAAAGAACTGTCTTTCACACTGAGCCATGTCTCAGTGTGAAAATGACTTAAAGCAT